TCACAGAGATCTGCCTGCCTCTGTCTCTGCCTCCCAAGTGCTGGGATTAACGGCATATGCCACCAATGCCCGGCTTTCACTGAGTATTTTAAAATTCTTGACGTAATTGTTATTACAAAAGGGCTAAATGCCATGCTATGCATAATAAACTATGCTGTTATTTACATGGTCATGGCCCCCAGAGGATGGAAGGCCTCGGAATGTAAGAAGGCCTTCAAGTACAGTACGAAGGAGTGCACTGCAGAAGGGTTGGTGAGTTGAAGACTGAGTATTTTCCATCTGTCCAAGTGGGGTCCAGTGTTTCCAGGAAATCTTGGGCTAAGCAGAGATGCCTGGTCCTATGAGGTTTAGGATTAGGGCTGGATCTACATTAGAAGTCAGCTCTAGCTTGTAGGTTTCTTCACATGGGTGTGTAACTACAGAGACTAGTCACAAACCGAGCAGCAAGCAGAAAGAGGAAGGAAGGCAGGATTGAGATCTATTGGCCTCATTCCAGATAGTGTTGAACATATGTGAGCAGAGGATGGGCAGAGGCCTTAGTGGAGGAAGGCCCATGGAAGGGCAGAATGGTCACAGTTCAGGATGCAAAACTGAGCCATGGAGAAGGGTGGCTAAGGGAAGGTCACAGCCAAAGTCCAGCCCATAGAGATGTGTGAGGCTAGCAGGTTGTTCTTTTGTGATTTGCACAGAGGTGCAATTCACTGGATCTTAGCAGTGGGTATGAGAGCAGGCCTAGGGTGAACAGTGAACTCATGTATCACCGACTAAACAGGAAGCACAAGAAAGCTTTGCCCACAGAGAGCACGGGGACATGGTTTAGGACCTAAGGAAGGAATGGAGAAATCGAGAAAACAAGTTTGACTACCCAAGGGAAACTGAAGAGAAAATGAATAAATGTATGCAGATATTAGGAAAGTGTGAGCCAATGTAGGAATTGGCAAATGGGAACCAGCTTTGGCAAGTGAATGCTATCTGCAGGGATCTGATCAAACTGTTGAGCAGCTAGCCCTGGGCCCTGCAGGCTCCCTAATCTTGAACCAAGATCAGCATCAGCTTTCAGGGTGGCTGTACAGAGGGACATGAAAAAGGCCAAGAGGAAATGGGGCATAAAGAGACCAGACTGCAGGGGGCTACAAATGCTCAGTGTTGAAAAGCGAACACCAAGGCCGGTTCTGACCTGCTGTTGAACAATACTGATTTGAGACCGCAGGGATTTAGTATTTGGTGAGTTTTCACTATTGTTGAACATGCTTTTTCTTCTTTTGGGCTGTTTAGATTAGTATGCTCACTTGGGCTAGAGGAAAACAAACAAACAAACAAACAAAAAAACCAAACAAACAGAAACAAAAACCAAAAACAAACATTAGGAGACACCCAAAGAAACACATGACCATTATTTATTAATTTATTTTTAAAAATGCTGTTTTATAGGGTCTGCTTTGTTTCTGCAAACCATACTAGTATACTGGAGAGGGGCAGGTGGGAAGAAGGGTTGAGACTAATTGGGTTTTATTTTAGCAGAATTTGTGTCAGAAACTGTAAACTTTCCATTTTGTTACTTGGATTACTTCTGCCGAAGAAATGGGTGGAACTGACAATTAGAGAAACGTTCTGTAATGTTTAACCTGGTGTCAAGAGTTTGGACCTGCTCATCTGTGAAAGGGTGCCTGGGAGAGGCAGTGTACAGGGGCTCTGGTCACATATCAGCTGGGAAAGCTCTCAGCCCTTCAGGTTCCTCATCTTTAAAGTAGGAATTGTAACTTACTGCCTCCTGGAGGCTTTGAGGGTGGCAAGTGGTGACACATATGCCAGAACCCTTTCCCAGGTGCTCGCTTGTCAATGAGTTCATGTCATCATTAGTCCTCGGCCACGTGCCATATGCTAGGCATTTAGAGTGAAAAATTAGTATAGAGCATTGAGTTCCAATAACTGTGACTACATCTACTTAGCAACTCTTGGGTGACAGGCCCTGTGCTGGGAGTAACATAAGAAAGGCAGTGTGTGTTTTCATGGTCACTTGTGGTCATATTGGGGGCACATCTGTTATGGTCTCAACAAGCCCAACATTTTCTTTTTCTACATCATGATTCTATTGTGAGTCCCAGAGTGATGATCATCAGTTGAATGCATTAAGAACCTCGTGTTCAGGGGTGTTGACTTGTTAATGTGGCTCCCATCTCACCCTGGGTGGTGCTAACCCTTTACTGTCATTTACACTTCCAAAACAACGGACAGATGACAACACATCAAGAGGAAGTTATAGAGTACAATTTTCTCTTTTGGGTTCCCCTCTTGCCTTTTATCTTGAGATGACAGGATGACCCAGGGACAGAGCAAACTCTTTTCTGGCTCTCTAAATTGTGGGAGGGGAGACATCCTTTTTTCCTCACCCATCTGGAAGATCATAGCCACACATCTACTTGGTAAGCTTATTTTGACCCTTACAGGAAATGCTAGCCTTATAGGCTGTTTGTGATCTTTTGTTATTGAAGAGAAGGGAAAGTTGTCTTAAAAAGCTGAGAGAGAGAGAGAAAGAGAAAGAAAGAGAGAAAGAGAGAGGAAAGAAAAAGAGAGAGGAAAGAGAGAAGGCGGGTACGTGTGTGTATGTTTGTGTGTGTGTGTGTGTGTGTGTGTCTGTGTGTGTGTGTGTGTGAGAGAGAGAGAGAGAGAGAGAGAGAGAGAGAGAGAGAGAGAGAGAGAAGGGGGAACTTGATCCTATGTACATGTAGACCAGAGGTCAACATTTTTTCAATCCCTTTCCTCCTTATTTTTTGACACCAGGTCTTTCTCTGAACCTGGAGTTCATTTGTTTGGCTAGTCAGGCTGATCAGTGAGCTCCAGGGATCTGCGTATTCCCCACCAACTCTACATAGTTGTCAGGGTTATAGAAAACACGCTCACATAGAACTTTTTTTGGAGATCCGAACTCAGTTCCTCATGCTTGGCATGGCAAACAATTAACAGAGTGAACATTTTTCCCCACCCAAACTGTTGCCATTTCTGAGCTGAATGTGGCACTTAAAATTTATTTATGGACCTGGGGGGGCGGGGAATCAGCTTTTGCTCTGTAGGTGAGTTCTGACTTCCTCACATGTTAAAGCCATGATGGCTCAAAGGGCACCTGTGCTCCAAAATCAGCTACCCTTCATGTTTAATGTGAGATCCTAAAATGTGCTTGCTCATTAGTGGAAGTTGCGTTCTAGACACTTAGGATTTTTTAAAGCCATATATCGTCTATAAAAATCCTGACGGATTTTCCTTTGCATGCTTAAGCAACATAGTTATTCCACTTTATGGGATTACAATGGGAGAATTAGTCTATTTGTGGAAGCTTTTTCCTGTGACTAGTCAGAGGGACCATGCATGCTTATCACCAGGATATCCTGGTTGGCGCTCGCCTAGTTTGCATCTTGAGTATCAAAGCCTTAAGTCAGCCATGAAATTCTAGAAAGTGCCCAGGCTTCCTCAATTTTTTGTTTTAGGTGCTGCATACAACACCTCTTCAAAAACAGGTTTATTTTACTTTTTGAAGGAAAAAAAAAAAGAATTTTTTCTCATACTTCTTTGTTTTCAGTTAAGCCGCGTATTCGTGAGTGAAAAACAAGACAATAACAAGATCCTCACTTAACCCATAATGCCATGCTTTATAAAATTACCCCCAAGAGTATGGTTTAAGGGATAGATAAGCAGATTGAATGTTGAATATTGACATCTTTTCTAGGCCCTTATGTATAACTGTATTTAAATTTTTTTTCCTGATTCTAGTAAGTTATAGCATTATTAGATATTTATACAAAAGTATGCTATTCTGAGTACAAATTTAAATACTTATTTTGAGCATTAAAGTAAGATATTTGGTGACAACATTGGACAGTGTGACAACCTGCTGAGAATGAGGATGTGCTTTCACTTACAGATATTTGTGGACACTTGCTACACGCAAACTGATTGACCTAAGGCCCCCAGCCTCAGGTGGGATTGGGCTGTGGGTCATGTCATTTCCCAGGAATTACACCAACTCAGTTATAAGTATGTGCAGACTAAAATTGACACACTTAACTCACTTGTTTACTTGTTTTCGCCGTCATTTGAAACTAATTTATTATAATGTTACTTGGGAGTGGTGGCTGCCCAGAGCAATAGCTGATAGAGAGAAGTGACAAGCAAGAGCCAGGTAGCCATTTTAGTGTAGGGCTGCTTAGCATACTTCCCACCTTATCATTATCACCAGTGAATTTCAGCCTCGGGAAGCCCTGGGGCAATTGGGATTCTTGTATAACCCTCTGTCATAAAAACAAACAGAACAAATAAGACACTTTTTTTGAGTTTGGTTTAGTGTGTTCCATTTACACAGGCAAAAAGTGGCTTAGGATTTCCAGCTGGGGATAGGAGGATGGATGTCTTAGTTGATAAAGTGCTTGCTAACCAAGGATGAAGACACAAACTCCACCCTTAGCATCCATATAAAAAAGCTGGGCATGGTAGCAGACATTTGCAATCCTGGTGCTGGAGTGCTGGGGAAGCAGGGACTGGAAAGTCCTTGGGGCTGTCTCCAAAAAAAAAAAAAAAAAAAAAAAAAGTGTTGTGCCCAAATTCTGAACCTTCCCAAGTCACCAAGAGACCCGATCAGATGCAAAAGTACTTCCCCTTTTGATTGGGAAGGATTAAAAAAAAAAAAAAAGATATTCTTCAGTGTTTTTGAAGAAAGGCTTTCGGTGTAGAGATAAATTCTCTTTTTAAAGAAGTCTTTTGTTTTAGCTAACAGAAAGTTTCAGGGAAGCCTCTAGCTTTAACACCACAGAACTGTTGGTTATTGGAAACCTACATCATATGTTAATAAATTACTAAGACTAAATAAAAGTATTCAGTGAGCATTTTCAATGTTACAGACCTATGTCATTTTCTCCTCTCTTTATATGTTTATTTACTAATTCATGTATTTGAACAATCGTGGAAAAACCATCTGCATAAGCGTCCCCCTCTCTTTGACTCTGTTTCAGGCAGGCCAGCCATGAGAGGGTACCTGGTGGCCATATTCTTGAGTTCCATCTTCCTCTATTATGTGCTACACTGTATCCTGTGGGGAACTAATGGCTATTGGTAAGTTTCAATTTTATTACTTAACATGGCTTTCAAACTAGTCTTCCTCTTATCTAAAGAACCTTTCAGAGTATTTTATTGTATTGTATTATAATATTGCACCCAATATTGTAACATGTTGGATCTTGTCTAGCTTTTCATGGTACACTGGGATTTTACTGGTCCATTATGCCATAGGTTGTTTCTCTAACAATTTAAAGCTGTTGAGTAGGTCTGGAGAGATGGCTCAATTGGGTCATGTGCTTGCAATCCATGCATGAGGACCTGGATATAGATTTCTTGAACTCATGTGACAACCAGGCATGAAACCCCTGTGCATTTGTAACTCCAGCACTGGGGAAGAGGGATGAATTGGAAACAGGAAGAGTACTGGTGATGGCTGGCCAAATACCAGGTTCAGCTTCAGGGTTAGCCAGGGACTCTGCCTCAAAAGAGTCAAGGGCAGAGTGGTAGAGCAGGACAAAAACAATACACATACACACCTCACACACACACATACCACACTGATGCATACACCTCACTCATATATACATAACATACACTCATACATGTACACATCACACACACACACATACTTACATACATACACACACATACACACATTATATACATACCACACACCCACCCACACATAGACACACACACACAATACACAGACACACAGAGAGAGACAGAAAGAGACAGACAGGGGGCATAGAGAGATAGAGAGGGAGAGAGAGAGGGAGAGAAAGATAGACAGACAGATATTTTTTTTTTTTTTTTTTTTATGCATATAGAGTATTTTTTATTTAATTTTATATAACAAAGTCTAATTAAATGAAAACAAACATTTATACACAATATTTGGGAATTTGGGCGTCGTTCTTTCCAAACTACTTCCTGCTGGTAAGGGGCGCTGTCTTGGGGGATTCGAAGAAGATTCAGATATCCTAGCCAGACAGATATTTTTAATTGAAGAAAAACTCTGTTGGAAAACCCTTTCTTTAAAAATATTTATTTTAATTGTGTGTGTGTGTGTGTGTGTGTGTGTGTAGCTGTAGGGGTCAGAAGAAGGTGTTGAATCCCCAGGAATTGAAGTTACAGGTAGTTATGCTACCCTGCATGTGTGCTGGAAATTAGCCTGAGGTCACATCATGAATTCTTAGCCTTTGAGTCACCTCTCCAGCCTTAATCCATTTCTTATTGATTCCCAAGTAAAGCAGTAGTATTGACTGTTTCAGGACATAACATTCTGCATTTATATAATAGCTCATTTTCTTGAATTAATGAAGTGCTTCTTGAACTCAGCATGAGTCAAGTCTTATGTTGTTACTGCTAACATACATGTACTATATTTGGTTCCCTTTGTTTAAAAATACAATAGACATTTCAAAATAGCTTTGACATATACTTCTAAAACTTAAGGCATGATTTTAATGTATAGAAAATTTTAGTAAGCGTGTTTTTCACACTCCCCATTTCAGTCCTTTGACTAAGAATAAAGTTTTGGTGACCTTTAAATTGTAAATGGATGTCAGTGCACAATTAAATCCAAATAAATCAGATCATAACTTCCCATTGTAGACAGTGGTTTGTCAGTGTTTCAACAGAAACACTGTCTCTACACTTCCGCCTCATCACTGAAGAATTATGGTAGTGCCTCTTCATGAAAGAAAGTCGGCCAAATGCTACTGGGAGAAACCCTAATGCCAGTTGGGTGGTTTAGACCTACAGTTTTAGCCTTTGGGCCTAAATTTTGAGCCAGAGAACTTTGAAGCCTCATTTATTCCACAGGGGTTCCTCCCCTTATCTCTGCCATCTTCTAATAATAAAAGAAAGGAATGCAGAAAGATGGCTATGCTACTATTTGTAATAGACATGATTCTCTAGAAGACTAGAACTCATAGAATGTACATATATTATAAAAGGGGTTTATTAGGATGGCTTCCACGATGGGGGCTGGATGGTCCAAAAAATGGCTGCTGAAACCTAGAAAGGTCAGGTCACAGAGGTGGCTCAGCTTGAAAGGCTTTTGCTTTCAGCACTCCCTATCTTGTGATGAAGACCTGGGTGATTCTTTCACAATTGTGGGTTTTTAGTTCACATTGGAAGACAGAAGTAGTACAGAGTTTCTTATCAGTGAAGGACAGACAGGCTCACAAGCAAAAGAGGCAGGCAAGCTACATTGTATTTTCCTCTGAACTTTTTCTGTCTGGGCTACCTACCAACAGCTGCCATCCACTCTGGGGGTAGAAATGTCCTCAACACCTACCCAAACGCTTGTCTCCCTGTTAATTCCAAATCTTTTAAGATTAGATTATCTACCGTTTTACTTTTGTAAACATCCTGATTGTCACAGAGGAAATGGTAAAGAAGATAATAAAAATACTTTGAATTCACTACCATCTTTTGTCACCAGACTCTGAAGAGCATTCAAACTGAGCTAACATTACCCATCGACAGTACCTATGTGGGTGTGCACCATTAATGGTATTGCTTCCTTTAAAACCGGTTTAAGGGAACTGGGATGCCAAGTCCTTGCATAACTTTTAGGGAGAGACCTGACTGGGCCCTTGAGAGAAAAAGGTAAGATAGTCAGATGGACACACAAATAGAAATCTGGGATTGGGGCATGGTCTAGGCTGTCTGCTAGAGAAGCCTCCTGGAAACTCAGTGTGCTTAGTATATACAGTGAAATGAGAGGCCACATTAATGCACACAGCTGGAAAAGAGGAGAGGGCTTATGATATACAGCTGGACCAACGTGACAGGGTCCTCTGGTTGTGGCAGGAGCAATCTCTGTAAGGGAGTAGTTGTCAGGCCATAAAACACCAGGAGAGAAAGCAGTGCTGGACATGTTTTTCTGCATATACTCAGCACTCAGAGTCAGTCCCCTCATAAGGCTTTGGGGTCCCTCTGAGCCTGAGGCTATGGGATCCTTGACAAGACTGTGTCCATGTCCAGTGTACAATTCCACTCCGGACTTTATTCAGCACTTCCTCTGTTCCCTGTGTTGGGGAGACAGTCTAAGGGGCAGGGGAGATGATTTGATAGGCAAATATTTTCCATACAAGCGCAAAGACCTGAGTTTGATCCCTAGCTCCTAGATAAACAGCCAGGTGTGCTAGTACACACTGGGCCAGTGGGCCTAACCTGATCCACAGTCTCTCAATGAGAGACTCTGAGACAACCATGTAGGTTGGCATCTAAGGAGAAACCATAGGCAAAGTGGTTCTCTGGCCTACACAAACACACACACCACCAACCGGAGATGACTGCAGTCACAGCACTTGCCATGCAAGTAAGAGGACCAGAGTTTGGATCCCCAGAGTACAGGGTGGGTGAGTGCGGGAGCTCACCTGTAGTTCCAGCTTTGTAAGGTAGAAACAAGAGAAACCCTCAGGACAAGCTGGCTCGCAAGACTCCTTATTAATGATGTCTGGGCTTAAGTAAGTGACTGACTCTGTCTCAAAAGAGTGAAAGTGGTCAAGGGAAATTCTCAATATCAACCCTGGGCCTCCCCTCTTACATGCGTACATGTGAATGCATCCACACATATGTGATATGCATACCACATGTGTACATGAAAAAAATGATTATTTGTTTTCATAGCCACCTAAAGTTTGTCTTCATAATATTCTTAATCAGCTGTTTAATTTCAGTCTTTGTGTTGCTTCTCTATCTCTAACCTTAGAAATGAAGTGATAGAGTTCATCTTGCCCATTGAATATAGATAGCACAGTGTTTGTGCGCGCTTGTCTACCATATCTATGTGTCCTCCTTGTGCATAAACCAAGTGGCCCTCGCCATTGCAGTAGTCTCCAAATATTTCATTATATAAGGACTTCTAGCCTCTTAGTTCAATAGCTTGCTAGTTCTAAATATGGAGATTTAACCTTTAAAAAACTGAAAATTAGGGCTGGAGAGCTGACTCATGGGTGACAGTGTTTCTTGCTGTTGCGAAGGACCTGGGTTTGATTCCCAGCATGATCACAGAAGATGTACATGCAGGCAAAGCACTCACCAAATAGTAAAGATAAATTTTTAATCCCAGCACTTGAGAGACAGAGGCAGGTGGATTTCTGTGAGTTCGAGCCAGCCTGATCTTCCGAGCGAGTTCCAGGACAGAAGGATACAGAGAAATTCTGTCTCGAAAAACCAAAAAAGACAAAGGCTCAATCTACTCAATCTATTCTTTCTAGATCCAGTCTCCAGTCTTATTGATAGTAGAAAAGAATTTTTATTCTTTTTCATATAATCCATGATTAAAGAGTGAAGCTGTTTTCTGCCCCTCCCACTCTCCACCCCCATTTACTTTCCTTTTTGTATTTCATAATACACTTAAAAAAATAGTTATATTTTTTGTATGTTGGTGTTTTGCTGCAGGTATGTTTGTATGGGGGGGCATCGGATCCCCTGGAACAGAGTTACAGTTAACAGTTGTTAGCTGCCATGTGGGTGCTGGGAATTGAACTCAGGTCCTCTGGAAGAGCATCCAGTGCTCCTAACCACTGAGCCAGCCCCTGCAATACCCTTTTAAGTCATGGAGACAAGTACTCCATTTAGGAACCCACCTGAGCCAAGAGCGAAGGACAGCGAGATACTGAACTCAGTGGTGTGACTTGTGACACCCCCAGTCAGATGTTTGCACTATTTGTTGTCGCTAGCTAGCTGTTCTCACACATGACTTGGGGATGAAAGCCACATGCACTTGGGCTGTGTGGTTTCGAAGGTCTTTGAGGACTTCTAAAACTAAAGTGTGAGTTCTGGCTTCCACAGTGTGGTAACCCTTCACAGAGGTCCCTGTGAGTCACAGTTCCCCCAGTTCCTTAAGTCTCCATGTCCTTTTCAAATGTCAGGACTGTGTGTGTGTGTGTGTGTGTGTGTGTGTGTGTGTCTGTCTGTCTGTCTGTCTTTGACCTCTGCCTCCAAGACCAGTTGGCACTGGAGTCCTGTGGGGTCCTTGTGTACACACCCCCCTTTGGGCAAGATCCCTGGCTCTGGCTTCTTAATTCCACTATTTCTTTCTTCTAGGGTACCACCTGTGGAAATGAAGAGTAAAAATATCAAGAAGTGTCCAAAAAAGCCAGCTTTCGCCTCTCTCCTAAAGTAAGAATAGAGCAAAAAAAAAAAAAAAAAAAAAAAAAAACTGTAGCTGTACAAGAACTGCACAATGTGGTGTTTGTGGTCGTTTTCCTACTGTCTACTTCTCATGCAAATCTTGGTCGATGGTAGACACTGCATGTATAAGAAAGTATGTAAGGAACTTGAATAGCCTGTATTTGTACACTGAGCCAGAGCTCGGAATATAGTTTCAGGAAAGACACTAAAGCTGGTATTCCCTTATCTCAGGGGAGACTGGAGAGTCCTATTTGGGTTTGATTAGAAGAAAAGAATTGTGCCTTAGTTATTTCCCCCCTCCCTCATATCCTCCTATCCCCTCACCCCCCCCCCCCGCCCCAGAGAGACTTCATCCAGCAACTGATGGGAGCAAAAGTAAAATTTCTTTTATTAAAAACATCCCCCCCACTTTTACAAAACTATGTAGAATACAGATGATTGATGTACATGCAATGTGAATTGTGAGTGATCATCGTGACCGCCAAAAATTGTAGTTTATTCTTGCATATACAATATTTCTTTCCCTGTGCACTGCCACTTTGATAGATGGCCTGGCCATATACTTCTAGCTAGCAAAAGTGGCTGCAAACTTGCTTAGGCATGTTTAATTGTATAATATGCTTTTGTGAGACCCTTCCCCAATTTTACGTTGTTTGCTCAAGACTACTAAGTGAGCTTCTAAGACTACAGTTTAAGGGACAGATGTGTAGGCATGTGTTTGTCTGTCACTTGTACAGTACTCTGCAAGGACACTCCATTGAGCAATGCCACTGTCTCAGATACGGGCAAGAGCCAGGCCGAGTAAGGAAGCTGTCTACTCAGGAGCCTGGGCTGTGTGGAGGACTCCTTTCAGAATCAGGCTTCTGTGTACATTGCAGTGTTGATATCTGTGGGCTGGGACTCCCTCCCCAATAGGGGCTTCATGGCCCATACTTACCATAGCAAGCATTTACAGGAGTAAGCATTGCAGGACTGCACTGTGATAAAATACATTTTAATGTGATTATCATACTTACTAAGGTAAGATTAGCACTTATTGAGGCTTTTAGTATGTCTGAGATATCGTGCTACATAATTATTTCATTTGGTAAGTGAATGTAAGCAATGCATAGATAGAAATTTGACTAGAAACACATACTAGTTACTAGTCACTGTTGCTGTCAAATGGCCCTGACCAGCTCTGAAGGAGAAAGCCCTTTACTGGAGCTTCTCCAAGAGGATAGGGAGGAGCTTGAACTGGTATGGTATCCTGGCACACTTCTCCCTGCCCAATGTAGGTCCTGGGCTTGGGGATCAACACTGATTTAGAAATGACTTTTACAGGGTTGCTGGCTCTTAAGGCTGCTGTCACTACCAATGCCAAAGCTAGGGCATACATTTGGTCAGGGAATGCTAGTCTGTTACCTGTTTCCTCTGCCCCAACACAATGTTAGTTTGTAATGAAACAAGTTAATTTGTTACCACCAGGCTAAAATTGAAGGCATATCACTATCCACTCTGTTGCTAATTGTATTTATTGTGCAGCACTGGGAAATTGCGGCCTTGTTTGGTTTCCACCTGTACTTCTAAACATTAGTACAAAGGAGAAAGATAGTGCCTGTGTGGGGCCTGATCTAAAGCTTGGCAGGACTTGCCCTACAACTTCCAGTCTTTCTGGTGGGAGAAAATATCTTATAATTGTGAACTTTAAGACTATTTCCCTCCCTTTAATAACACAAATAAGCACTGTTCCTACTTTATAATGGTCCTTTCAAGATTGATTTGGAGTTAAAAGTCATCCATGCACTTATTAAACAGGTGCTGACTAACCATATCCTATGCTGGATACCACAACAGCTCTTTCTGTCTTTATCAGACATTCCAAAGAGAAGTGTGGGAGTCGCAGCATACATTTTGAAGCAACACCACAGATGTCCACAATTGTTGTTCTTGAGTAGAGCTTAATTTAATGACAGAGTTGAATTCTCTAGCTAAGTTAAGCCTTCAGTATATCTTTGTTTTTACAGTTGGTATAGTTTATACATATGGTACTTTTAAATTTTGGAATGGCTTAGCACCAATTGCCTACATAACTTCCTGGCTGTCACTTTGCCACTTAGAGTGTGGTTTTACTTACACTGTAACGTAATTTTGGTTCTTGTACCTGAAAAGTGCATAGCTCTATCTAGCATTTATGTATTTATTGTCTTAAATGATTTAAAAAAATATTTGTACAGCGTAAGCCATCCACTGCCGTAAGTTTCAGTTGTGATCATAGTTGTCTAAAATCACAGCAAACATTTGTCAAGATCATGCTTTATTATTTCCTTTCAGGTTTCCTCAGTTTTACCCGTTTCTGTGTGCAACTGACTTTACAAAGATTGCTTCCAAGTACGGTACTACTAATTTTGTTTTGCCCTATGGGATAAAGGGATCAGGTTAGTCACACTGTTCTTATCCTGATTATTAATTTGAGTGATGTTTGATAAGAGTGATGTTTTTGTTTCCTAATGATTCCCCAGGAAATAAAATTTGGGGTCTGGATTAAAAAAAAAAAAAAATTCCAAGTTTTAAACATAAACACTCTCTCTTAGAGGCAGTATAGAGTCAAACGTGGCAGGGTTTTTTGTTTCATTTTGTTGCTGTTGTTGTTGTTGTTGTTTTTTTAATGGTGGTACTGGAGAAAATGGTTTTACCTTTATTCTGTCACAGTGGGAGTTAGCTGGGCTCTTGCGCCTGACTTTATTCCACCCCAGAATTACCAGATTATCAGGATAACCTTACAGGGTAACTTCTTCCCTGTCCCTTCATTTACCTTTGTGTGTGTTCATGGGTAGAGTGTTCTTCAGACTACTCCAGCCCCCCCCCCCTTTTTCTCTTTGATTTTGGGTCTTTCACTGGCCTGGAATTCATCAAGTAGGTTGGAGTGACAAGTCTGTGAGCCCTGGAGGCCTCTATCTCCTCCAGTCACAGGCTCCCCGTGCTCTGATTGCAAGCACAGGGACTGACATCGGGTTGACATGCTTGCAAACAAGCACTTTGCTGACGCCATTTCCCTAACCCGATTCCTCTTATTTATTTCGTCAGCACCGTCTAGATCTTTAATATTTTAATTTTGTCAATAAGTTTTTATTTTCATTAAATTGAGAGGGGGTTAGTCCACCTCATAACAGCACAGCAAGCTTCCCTCTGCTCATGGAGAGCTTTTGGGGCTTATGTTGTTTAAAGGTCCAGATTTTGGGGAGACGTTAAAAACCCAAGTGGTACCAGTTATAATTTTGTGATATTTTACTTTTTCAATGATCCTACATTAAATATATGTATGTATGTATGTATGTATGTGTGTGTGTGTATATATATATATATATATATATATATATATATATACATCTATACACACACACACACACACACGCATGTATAATTTGCAGAAGGGTAGTAGTATATAGCTTAGTTGGTATAGTGCTTGCCTAGTATGGTTGAAATTCTGGGTTCAGTTAGTATTACATAACAAGTATTGTGGCCTGTACATGTAATTCTGGTACTTGAGTAGTAGAGGCAGGGGGATCAGAAGTTTTAAGGCATCTTTAACTACATAGAAAGTTTGAAGCCAACCTGGAATATATGAAATACTATGAATACTATGTATATATGTATATGTATATACATATACACATGTGTATCAAAGTTTGACTAATTAGTTTAAATGCACTGAGTTCTGTTTTATGTTCAGAATCATTTGATAATACTAGTTTTTATTGATATTTATATTTGTGACTTTTTTGTTTGTTTTGTTTTTCTAGACAGGGTTTCTCTGTATTCTTTGAAGCCTGTCCTGGAACTCCCTCTATAGACCATGCTGTCCTTGAACTCACAGAGATTCGCCAGCCTCTGCCTCCTGAGTGCTGGGATTAAAGGCGTGTGCCAGCAGTGCTCAGCACTATCTGTGACTTCTTATACTAATCATGACTCTTGGGAGATGACAAGATCATTTACTATTTTGAGTGTGCTTTTTGAGTGTTGTTGAACAAATTGTATAGTTGTCAGTTTTTCACTGATCTTCTCCAACATGACCATATACTTAGAGTTGGAAGTCATGGAGCTGGGGAACTTGTTGACTCTTCAGAAGGTATGATTGGCAGCCTTCTGCTCATAATGCTGTACTTGTTTTCCAGTGGAATATTTTCGAGTGGTCCTTCCAAAGCTGAAGAACTGTGCTCTCTTTGATGAGTTTGACAAGTGAGTTTATTTCCCTCTCTCTGACTTTCAGCTTTATTTAAGGTGACTCCAAGTATTTGCCTTAAGAAATGCAAAGTGGATGATTCTACTGGATGTGTGTGTGGCTAAAACTCCAATAGTTATTTCTGTTCTTATTCCCCTGGAAATAAACAAGCTATGTAATTAATGTAGAAGTCACTACACTGGCTGGCTCAGTTTTCAGAGTGTTTTGATGATGAACAATAGGAGTTCCCTTGCACCCATGGTATTTTTGACCCATGTTCATCACTCTAATTTGTTTGTGCTAAAGAATGAATTCTCTTGCACTGCTAACCTGCACAGATCCCCCATCCACGACCATTTCCCACACCTTCTGTCCAAATCCCAAGGGTTCCTGATGGCCTTTTTTTTTTTCTTACTTGTTTTAAAGTGTTGACTGTTGGACTTTGGAAGCAATTCTGTTCCTTTCTGTGAGAATTCCATTTGGAGAAAGCAGACAAATTTCTTAGGCATACTTTTCTATCTATAAATTTAGTTTGGTGTGTAGAAAAATTTCCTGCCAAGATAGTACATAGAAACCAGGCTTACTTTTACAAAAGTGGGCTTATTTCAGAAAGTTTGAAGATATACTTTAGAATTTGGACCATGGGGAAGTGCAAGAATGAATGTGGTCTGTGGATATGAAACTATACTTAGGAAGTGAAATGGTAGAATTCCTTCTTGTCCAAAAGTATAGTAGCACTACTTGAGAAGTGGACAGAGAAGTGTCCACCGAGCAGGATGAGAGTGTTAACATTTTATTGATATCTTTCAGGTCTGTGGGAGTCACAGATTATTCAATGTAGAAAATGTATGGTTGTTGGTTCATTGCCTTTGGTTATAATTCAAAACTATGCCACCTACCGATCAGTTTTAACTTTGGTTTCATATCAAGAATTTTGTTTGTTTGTTTCTGTTTTTTTGAGACAGGTTGCTTACTCTGTACACCAGGCTGACCTAGAACTCAGATCTATTTGTCTCTGCCTCCTGATCACTGGGATTAAAGGCGTGTGTCACCACCACCTAGTACATATCAAGAGTTTTGCATGCATACACACACACACACACACACACACACCCTCACATTTTACATAGTTTTCCTTTATAGAGTTTTGATTTGTGAAGATGTTTGGCTTAAAGTGCTTTAGGTCAGTTTTCTTTAATGTTTCGAAAGGTGAAAGTCAGTCTGGACAGACAGATGCTTGCTCTTGCTGGGAAATGGCAGAGCTAAGAAGACAGTGGAGGTAGCTGTAGCGCCAGTGCTTGGATGTCTGTGCAGAGAGTAAGAACAGACCCTTGAGAGGGTTTGCAGACGGGCTCTGAAAACAGTTCTGTAAATGCAAACTGTTATATTTGAGACTTTGAGTGGAATTTTCATTCTGTCTCCTTCTAATGTTACTACTAGACTGTTTGATCCAGCTGCTTGCGTAGGATGTCTTCAGCCGTTTGTCTGCTCCTCTCTCTTACGGGCTGGGTCTGGCTGTCTCCACTGTTTGCTCTTCATTGCTGCAAATCCTCCCACTCTCATCAGGCTATGGCTAATTCACCCACTTGAACCGTCTCCCTTCATTTTATCCTCTTTCTGTCCTCTTTCTCATTTCCAGAGAAGGATGGGATTTTTGTTGCTGTTTCAAGTATAAACACGTTTTAATAACTTCATTAAGAGTGCCTGATGCTTTGGTAGATTCTTCTGCGAAGGTGTGAAGGGGAAAACATGATGTATCGGTATCGGTTGCATTTATAGGTTGGATACTTTTGTCTTTCTCATGTTTTTTTTTTCCCCCAAGCATGAAGTCTGCAGGGCTGCCCCAGCAATTCTTTGGTCATCAGGGCCCAGGCCTCCTTGCATTGGACAGTGCTATTCCTCAGTACATGGCTATTTCCTTAGGGTTCAATATGAAGGCTGGAGTTCAACCCATCGTATCTTCATTCCTGCCAGAAGAGAGGAGGGATGGGAGAAGGGCATGTACCACTCCTTGAGGCTTGCCTTCTTTCTTATGGACTTCTCAAGAAGCCATACATAACTCTTCATTGTAGCTAGTGATGAGCTAAAGCCAAGGGTGCCAACGTGGTAGAGCTATATATCTCTTGCCATCTCTAAATTTAGCAGCCTCATCTGGAAGCTTGCCATCTGCCATGGAGTCATTATTTATGCCATGGGAATTGGCAAGTCTCACAGGCTAGCTTTTCCTTCTCCCTTTAGAGTTGGAATTCCTTTGGAATTTATCATTAAACATTAAACCATTGATGGCATCCCGGGGGTAAACTCACTCAGTGACCATGACTGGCTAGAAAGATGATGGGCCATGTTGCCTGCTGTTTAGGCCCCTGTGTGCCCATCTGGTAAGATGGCTGCCCAGCCTGACACCCTGAGTTAACCCTCCAGTACCCATAGAGTGAGAAGACAGAACTGAGTGCTCCCTCTCATACTAAGTAAACAAAATACAATTTAAAAAAACATATGTCCTGTTTTAAGGGTGGAAGATAGCATGGCGATAGAAGCTTTCTCTGTTGTCTCTTTGGTCCCCAAGTGTCTCTGTGCCATGGAGGAATTCTGAAGTCAGCGGGGTTAAATAGCCCATCCAGGCTTCTCTGTGCTGCTCCTGTCCTTTCTCTCTCTTCCTCTCTTCACCCAAGCCCAGGGAGCATCACTTCCATGCCCAGAGAGCTTCGCCAAAGATGGACATTACAAGGAAATTGTCATATTCTAAGTTTATGACTTCCTTGCTCTAGCCTGGTCCCAGCTCCAGGGATATTGCAATCTTTCGTATGGAGTTTCACCCCTTCCCAGCTAGGAGCAGCAGAAGCCTTGGCATGCAGAACTGCAGCTCCCACTTAAAATGCACAAACTAGCTCCTCACCCTCACCCCCCACCCCAGATGGAGAATGCTCTACTCCTGCAGCCTAGGTAGTCACACAGTAACTACATATAAATAGCTTACTAAGGGAAACACCTGTATTAAGTCAGTTGGCAACCAAATGGGTGATGGGTTGTAAAAGCTGTCTAGCTGCTCACTGAAGTAGAACCCATTTTGTCAGCTCAACAGAACTGGGTTGGACTGGTTACCAAGGAGAGGCAGAGCAGGAGCCCACGAGGAGAGTTGTAATGAACAGAAGCTTGCTAGGGACACTGTAAGCACAGTGAAGGGCTGCATCCTGTCCACACTCGGCCATCCTGTTGAGTGGAGGGTTGTTTACCTTGATGCCGGTGGATGGCAGAGGAAGTGGTGACCGACAGATAGGTCATTTGTGGGAGGAGCCTTGGGCGCCCACTGCCTGTTTTCTATCACCTCTGCACAGATGCTGAGAAGAGATACAAGAACTGAGGCTCCCCAGGCTGGAGCAAAGAGCCTCTGTCCAGAAACAAAACTAAAAGCAAAACCCAACAACATGGAAGGTCAGAAGACATAACCTGTTTCTGTACTGGATATAAACTGAGATGAGAGAGGTCAGATGGCCAAGCCTAGTTCCTAGAGGCACTGAGGGAACATGAGTCCAGAACCTGGCCTCTATCCCTAATTGCACATTACTTTAGGGTTTGGCTGCAAGGACTCCAGATGACTGACTGAACATGTGTGGTTTCAGAGCTGCAGGTTTGTGGTTGGTGTAGGGTACCAGCCTATGGCTTCCGTGAGTGTAAATGTACAACCCCAGGGAGTGCCAGCTTTCCTGAATCTAGACGATGTGCAGTCTCAGCAGCTTATGGTGTGTCTCTGGGTGGGCCGAATAGTGTCGCAATGGGCTTAGGGATCCAAGGTCGACTCTCTGTGGTTCTTTTCTCTTTAGGGACATCTTATGCCACCCACTGTCAATGTCTAAGCTGAGAGGAAGGGGCAGATCAAAAATAATGTTTTACTTATACCATTCACTTTCCAGGGGCAGAATCTTTTCTGAGAACCTCTGACAGACTACCCTACTATCTGATTGATCACTAGGCCAATCAGTGTTAGGGACAATGAGCTCACCATTAGAGGCTTACCAAAACAAGCTTCTGGGTTATTGAGAGCATGGCCAGTAGGATCCGCCATAGATTCTTACACTGAAGACAGAGTGGCATGTTTTAACGTGTTGCGTGTTGCCAAGGTAAAAAAAGGAACATCTAAAAGCTCTCAGTAACGAATACACATCACAGGTGGTTTGCACTTATTACACGTTACAGTTACACAGTTTACATTCTGTGTAGGGCGTGAGGTAGTGACTCTGCCAGGGGTTGTGGCCCTGCACAGGAGTGACTCTTGGTTTTTGCCTGATCTGAGGAGAAACTTGCCTTTCCCCCGGGGGGGGGGGGAGTAAATCTTCACCCTACTTCCTCAGCAGCTGTGCAGGTTTTTCTTTAACAAGTTCAGACACTCTGCAGTTATTTGATTTGTAGATAAGACTCTTGGTGGGGGGGAGAGGAGGGAGACTTTGCATTTCCTTACTGTTTTTCAAGGGAGAGTAACAGAAATCTGCTTCTCCGGACACTTGAGGAAAATAACTTCCACACATGTGACGTGAGAACCAAATTGATTTTGAAAACACCTGTGAATGAATAAGTGGTTTAGTTGGATAGGCTAGACAAATGACACCATTCTGTCTTCTGGGCACTCAAAACTCACTGCAGCCATTTGTATATGAAGAGCATGTTAAGTAAACATGATGAGCTGGGCAGTGGTGGTACACTCCTTCAATCCCAGGACTCCAGAGGCAGAGGCAGGTGGATTTCTGTGAGTTTGAGGCCATCCTGGTCAACAGAGCAAGTTCCAGAACAGCCAAGGCTACACAGAGAAATCTTGTCTCAAAAACCAACCAAACAGAAGATACGATGAGGTTACACAGTCACCAGGGGATTCTGGGAATCATTACGCATATATAAGATGCCAGGGCTGCCGGAGTCCAAAGTCAGGTACATCATGAAGAATGGAAAACATCTCAGTTCTTTTATAGAAATGAGAATCTGTTTGGGAGAAATGAATTCTGGGATGAGTGATTCAGTTTGTACCATTCTGTACCTGCCAGAACTGCAGTGGATCTATGTATGGATGGGATCTCAGTGACAGGGTTTCCCCTGGAAGGCCTGGAGAGCTTGTCCTCCAGTTAAAGCACCTGTTTCCCTGTCCCTGTAAAGCGGACAAAGAAGAAAACAAAGTGGAACTCCCACAAGCACTTGACACTGAAGAGTGAGTTGTAGAGGACCCTGTAGAAGAACCCTGTTTCCCGTGTTCTCTTGGCTGACAGTAAGGTCTCCCACCGTGTGGGGGAGTCAGTGAGATGGCATGGTAGCTGTTTTTAATCCTTAGGCCACAATGCCACATACAACCTAGTCCGATAAGGAGCTACACTCTAGGAAAACGACGATTCAGCCTGTTCTGCCATTGCAGCCTTTAGGGCAAGCACTAGCCCAGTGTGGGACTGAGCCAAGTTTCTTCTTTAAGAAAAGCTAGAGCTTATGAGCCAGGGATCTTTTTGGTGTAAGTCCCCGGGGACAGGCTGGTAGCCTTCACTCCCAACAGCCCTTGCCCTGTGCTTAGTTTGGTATCGGATAGGGACTCTGGGCCAGGAGTCGGGAGATTGCTCCCTGGATTCAGGAGTAAACAGTTCTTCCCTGGTTTTCAGTCTTCAGTGGAGGCGGAGGGGTTAGGCTGATAAGGATATTCTTCCCTTCTCTCCATTCAAGCTGTCTCATGGAAAGAGTTGTTGCTTCTAACCTGTCTGTTCTGAGCCATGCCTGGTGTCCAGGCTTGCTGGGGACTTCCAGTGTGAAGTGGGGGGTGGGGCCAGCCTCTGCTGGATCAGCTTGGGAAAGAATTGACCCTGAGTTTCTGGAGAGGGAATTGCTCCCTGTGGAGGGCATTATGGGATAGATCTCCGAAGGTGAACAGCTGTAATACTCTGAATAGAGGGTTTGACTATTCTTGGTACACTCCCTCCAGCAGTGAGGAGCGGAGAGCTTTGGTGAGCTGGGCTTCCTCCAGTTCCTATTGAGGTCACACTTGTTCATAAACACCTCTGGGGAGAGGTTTGTTCATTGTTCTTTCTTTTTGTGTGTCTCTCTCTTCCCCTCTCCCTCCCTTTCTCCCCCCTCTCTCCCTGTTCTTCCTCCCTCCCTCCCTTCCTTCCTTTCTTCCTTCCTTCCTCCCTTCCTTCCTTCTTTCCTCCCTCCCTCGCCTCCTTAATGCATAAACTACTACTTTACTTTTTCAACATAATATTTGTATTGGTTATTTGGAAATTTCACATACTGCACCCAGATCACATTCACTTCCCAGTCACACATTGTGACATGTATGAATCATGTGGAAGTTTGTAGACAATGCATCCTGACACCCACAAAACTGTTGCTTCTTGTTCTTACCTGGTGAAGTAGACACTAATGCCAGCAGAATAGATACTCATTGAGGACTAAGAGCCTCCAGCTAAAGTGTGTTAAAAGTATTTCAGGGAAAGAGGCTGGTGAGATGGCTGAGTGGGAAAAGGTGTCCGATGCCAGTCGTGGTGGTCTGTGTTTAATCTTCAGCATCCACATGATGGAATGGGAGGACCAATTCCCATAAATTGTCCTCTGACCCTCCCCTCCCCCCGGAGATTGAGAGAGAATAAATGTAATTAAAACAGGCAAGGAATTTTATATCTTTAGGAGTGCTTTTATGAATCAGTGTTAACATAATTCACTGAAATATGTAAGTCTCTAAAAGGGTAAACTTGACTACAGATGTATACATACAGGTTTTAAAACATGTTTCCCCACTCCTGCATTCTCCAGGTTTAAATATTACACAGCATTTGTACAGCTTTGCTACACATGAAGGTTTTAAAAGTCTTGGTGTTTTGGGGTTGACTGCTCTGCTGCTTGCTTGAGGAACACGTTTGCCTTTAGGCAACCTTGTCTCCTAGAGATTTGTCATTTCTTAGGACTAACAGACATGGTCAGAGAAAGAAAACCCCAGGCCAGGGTCACATTAGCCGAGGGCCAATGCTGTGCCACCCGTTTTGACTCTGTCCTGGCAGTCCCCTTGTGCTCTACTGAAAGCGTTTTCGGAAGCACAGCAAACATGGTGTTTGGGTGAAATACCAAGAATCAGTCCATGTTTTGAGAAATTGAAGTGAGCCTAGGCAGGGTGGAGAAAGCCACCTTCCCTCTACCACATTCCACACTGGCCATTTCCACACATACAATGCAAGAGAAAGCCAGATAAGGAAAGGGGGGCACTGGTTTAAAATGCAGATAGCGAAGTCATTACAGAACATCTGGGTACTCTGAAAGCTTAGAACCAAATGCTAGTGTCACTCACCTGTTTGGAGTTTGGACTTTGAATGAAACATTTTTTTTTTCTTCAAAATTTATTCCTTCATTTGTCTATCAGGAGCTATCAGGCTTCTCTCTCTAAACTGGTGATTTTAAGGAACACAGGAGAGAATGTATGAGTACATTAGCTGCAACGGGTTGATGTCAACTGTGATGATATACCTTACCCAATAGTATTATTTTTTCCTGAATCTCTGGACCACCAGCACAGTTGGTTAGTTTTCTATTTGGATGATGGGAGAAATTTCACTTAGTTCCTGAAAGCAGGAACAGGTTCTTGGAATCACTCCAAATCCAAAATGTGATTTCTCAACCTCGTACATGTCTATTTGCCCAACAGTGTGCCGTGTAAAAGATGTGTGGTGGTTGGTAATGGAGGAGTGTTGAAGAATAAGACATTAGGAGAAAAAATCGACTCCTATGATGTAATAATAAGGTAAATACATCTCTTGTTTGCTCACCTAGAATTGCTTGAAAAGAATGGTTTCCCATGCTAGCACAGCTGTGTTTTTAAAATGACCATTTATGCACCTGATTATACAGCATTCTGCCTTTGTTGCTGGGTACAGTAAACTAGATTTCAGACCACTGATTTAGCAAATATTTAATAAGTCCACTTAAAATGCCAGGCACAAATCTAGCCACAGGGGAGATCACAGCATGATAAGAGTATTCTTGTTCTTGTGATGTTTAAAGACTAAAGAAAGGGAAAATGAAGATATTATGCATTTTAATACAAATAGGAGAGATGATAATGAATTATCAAGTGACTACTTGGGAAAGGGTGGCCACTTAGAGGAGAGATTTAAGCTAGACCAAAGGACCTGTGTAGGACTGGCCATATGGAGGCAATGGAGGAACAGTCCAGACAGAGAGGATGTGTTTTGCAAGTCCCTAGGAGGCTTTCATATTGACTTTGTGAGGAGTAGCAGATAGCCCAAGCTCAGAGAATGGTCTAACCAGACACTGAGGGGGTGGGCAAAGAACAGGCAATGCAGGACTTTTAAGATTAGAAGGTAGAATGTTACTTTTCAGTCCATTAGGAGCCTTTGAACCCTTTTAGATAGGAACTTAAAATATGTTTGTCTGGAAAGAATCCTAGCTGCAACAGGCAATGGGACATGAGAGACAAGGCAGGGTATGAAGCATCAAGAGAATTGCTGTATTCACAGTAGATACATGGGCAGAATTGTCATGGAAGGGAAGAAAGGAAGTGGGCCGATTGGAATTGGGTTATGGAAAAGGGGGTATGGGAATTTGCTGCCTTATTAGATAAAGTACTGTAGGTAAAGGATGCAAGGGCACCTCTGGCTGTTTTCAGCTCTGTTGATTGGTTGGGGAGTTATGGTATTATTAGCAAGTTTGGGAGACAAGTTTAGGCTCAGAAGCCTAATGAAGAAAATGAAGAAGAAAATGAAATGGAAATGAAAATGAAAAAAAAATCTGTGTTATTATCTTTGCAGTATCTTTGAGAATTATAGTAGATAAGTGGACAATCACACGAAGAGGTTAAACTTTCCCTAACTGTCATCTTGCTACTGTTATGAATCATAATATATATCTGGTATGTAGGCCATCTGATATACAACCCCTGTGAAAGGGTCATTTGACCCACAGGTTGAGAACCATTGGCCTTGGGAGCAAGACACATGAGAGGGTCTGGCATTGAACTCTGGAGCTCTTGAGACTTAGAGGTTAAACAAGAAAAAAGGTGTGATCTACTAGGGAGGCATGAAGAAAACGAGTCGTGACCCTAGCTGCCAACAAGAGGGCTGTTTTAGAAGAGGGATCATCTAGGTCCTGTTATGATGAAAATAGAAGGGAGCCAGTTGGATTGTCATTCCAGTAGTCACAGTCACCCTTGACCAAAGCTTTAGGCAAGATATGGCAAGAAGTCCAACTGGAATGGAGAGAATGACAGATAAGAGGGAGAAACCAGTAGAGTCAACTATTGAGAAATGTTCTAAGCAGTTGAAAATGAGCTGGGCCTTGGAGGTGGTTACAAAATCTAAGAGAGATATGGTTAAAATAGTTGAAATGAATAGTGAGCCTGGTATGATAAAAAGAAGAGACCATGGGGTCGATTTCAAGGGTGACTCATTTTCTGTAATGGAAAGGAGACCATGTAACCATGGTTACAGTTACTGTCTCTGATACAACATTCAGGGGAAATACCATTTCTATCTCTGCTGTCTGAACTGAAGGGGAGGTAAAGTTGTTATCTGGTTAATAGTCTCTCTCCCTCCCTCTCCCTTTCTGTCTGAACCCCCCCCCTCGTGTGTGTGTGTGTGTGTGTGTGTGTGTGTGTGAGTGTGTGTGTGTGTGAGAGAGAGACAGAGAGAGAGAGAGACAGAGAGAGAGCCAGCTTTAAGGAGCCATTGTACTAGTACCCCATGAATGACTACGCACTGGGAAGACCATGTAGAGTGTCTGGAAGCTGCCTAGGTTACAAGCTGATTTCTGCATAACAAGGTCATCTTACTTTCTGTTTATTACCCATTTTGAAGAAATTTATCCATTTTCCCACTTGCAGATGTTTAATTCTGATAATTTTTATTACCTCGGCAAGTCTTTATAGGGAAACATCATGGGTACATTTTGAAAGCTACTGCAAGTGTCTTATATTACACGGAGTTAGTGGCAAAAGGGTAAAATAGTATTTATCCTTTCAAGGACCATTGTTTTGGAAACAAAACATTCCTTTTTCTCAGAATGCCTTTGTATTGTATGCACACAGTGATTGTCTAACATTGGCCTTGAGCTTTCAGTAATCCAACAGTAGGTCTTTTTACTGTCTTATAGATCAGTAGCAAAAGGAATTTGTCCAGTTGTGCTGAGTGTGATACAGAATTTTTATGTAGTTATTTAATTTCAGAATATTTTAAAAGGATTTACTTTTATTGTATGTGTGTGTTTGCCTGTATATATGCAAGTATACTATGTGTGTGACTGTTGCCCATAGAGACTAGACTTGTACCCTAGACAAGGATTTAGGGATGGTTGTGAGTCAGCATATAGGTGCTGGGAACCAAACTTTGGTCCTCTGGAAGAAGATCAAATACTCTTAACCATTGAGCTATCTTTCCAGCCCCAGAACACAATTTCAGTGGGTCTTCACACTAACTTAAACATGATTCTTCATGCTTATCAGTCACGTGGTCTCCTTACTGTCATAATGCTGTGGTTTCATAGTCTCATTTCTTTTAGTCCTGTGCAGGTCAGACTGAATGATTGCCTGATGCCATAATTAGTTTTTGAATACAGATAGCTGTCTCATAAAAGGGAATCATTTCCCTGGTCATTACTGTAGAATATTAATCAATTGTCTTGGTGCTTCTGAGTATGGGGATAGTAACTGATGCCCATTCAATTCTGAAGCCTCAGAACTTGACAAAAAGGGCTCATACACTACTCATCCTGTATCTATCGTCTTACTACCCACAGAATGAATAACGGTCCTGTTTTAGGACATGAAGAGGATGTTGGGAGAAGGACAACCTTCAGACTTTTTTATCCAGAGTCTATCTTTTCAGACCCCGTTCACAATGATCCAAATACCACAGCCGTTCTCGTTGTCTTTAAGACACAGGACTTAAAGTGGCTCTTGGATGTAATGAGTGGAGCCAGAATAGTAAGTTAGCAAAACTATTTGGTTCAGGTTACTTTGAGTACTTCCCCCTTAAAGTAAAATACATTCACAACATCCCATTTTCTGTGTCCTTTATTTCAGAACACTCATGTGTTTTGGAAGATGCCAGCCTTAAAGTTGATCTATGAACAATACCAAGTCAGAGTATTAGATCCGTACATTATCAGAGAAGCAGCTTATCAACTGCTTCATTTTCCCAAAGTGTTTCCCAAAAATCAGGTATGTATGTATCATCACATAGTTTCAAACTAAAGATCCAGCTAAGGGGACAGAGGGACATTAAAGCTTCCAGAAACCGCTAAAAACCGTGCTTCAGATGTTATTTTCTTAGGATTATTACTGTGTCGAAAAATTAAAGATCAAATAGATAGCGTCTGATATTTTATAGTTTTTTTCTTTTTTTTTTTTTGGTTTGTTTTAAAGAGAGAAGCGTGTGTTTTGGGTTTCTTTTGTCTGTGTATGACCTTCACATACTCTTTTTCCGAAGGTTCAATAATTAATTTCTTACAACAATGTTGTACAGCGACACCAGCATGGCTAGTGGGCTGCCTAGCAGCCCAGGGTACAGAATAGCTTCAGGACAAGGAGGTAGTCATTCAGAGTAAAAAAGAATTGTCTCAAACACTCTGTGTTAGGCAACTCCATGCTACATGAAATACCAGAGGCATACCTTAGGAAGAAGAGACTCTTAGCTCAGTTTCAGAAGTTCCTACATATGCTGGGGTTAGTAAGCAATGTGGGAGCGTTTTAGAGTGCTCACATCTCAAAGGCTGGAAAGAGGAAGAAAAAAACAAAAAAAAAAACAAAAACAAAACCAAAAACCAAAAAACATGTTGGTCACAAGGCCATAGTAAACAGAGTGTCCTTACACTGTTGGACACTCAATTCTCCCAAGGCTTTGCCTTTTCCATAGGAGCTGGACTCATGTTAGGAGATTTTATTTTTTGTTCAAACAACAAAAGCAGGATACTCGCCAATTCACAGCTGCCCTGAGCCAAAACTACAGCTATATTTCACTAGAGACTTTCTAAGACACTAGTCATAGCAGATGCCCTTTTTAGGGTAGTGGGTACTCTTTGGGCTTGAGTATTAGGACATAATGGTGGCTTAACTTATTACTCTTTTTTAATGTTTTGAACTCCATTTCCATCAGACTAGGCATGTCTGGGAAGAATAGTTTATTTGTATTTTCAAATTTCTGATTTCTTCTTAGAAACCCAAACACCCTACAACAGGAATTATTGCCATCACACTGGCATTTCACATATGCAGTGAAGTTCACCTCGCTGGTTTTAAGTACAACTTTAACAACCCAAACAGTTCTTTACACTACTATGGGAATGCCACTATGTCTTTGATGAACAAGGTAATTTTTCTATTTTACAAACCATTACTTTTTAAATTGTATGTAACGTGTTTATCACATTTGTAGATGAATACATGTGTGGGTCTCTCTGGAGGCTGGGGTGGGGGATCAGTGTGGAGTGTCATTTTCTTTTTCTCTCCTTTTTCAAAGATTTATTCCTTTTATGTACTTGTGCTCTGTTTGCATGTTCACCTTTATGCCAGAAGAGGGCATCAGATCCCACTATATATGGTTGTGAGCCACCATGTGGTTGCTGGGAAGAGAACTCAGGATCTCTGGACGAGCAGTCAGTGTTCTTAACTGCTGAGGCATCTTTCCAGCCTCTCACCTTGTTTCTGTAATGGTCTCTCACTGGTATAGGATTTACTAAGCAGTCTGGGCTATCTGGCCAGCCAGTGCCCGCTCAGCCACAGCTGGGATCACAAGTATTTGCCAGCACACCTGGCTTTTTACAGATGTGCTAGGGTAGAACTTGGCTCCCTACCAGGACTTTACCTACTGACTTTTGTCTCCAGTTGCCTGTGTGTCCCTTTTCACACTCTTGAGCTCCCAAAGGCTGAAAACAGGGTTCTGGTCCAGAGGTCATTTTACTATAGCAGCAGCTTTTAACTTGTGGGTCTCAGATTCTTTGGATAGCCTCATGGTGACTATTTCCTCAAAGTCCACCAGGGATGGAGTTTTCTTTATTTTTTATACTATTTAAATACAACCAACTGGTGTGTTTGAGACACACAAACTCACCAACCATCATTATGGTTATAGTAGTTATGGTTACACTTTTAGGGAAGTAGGCAGGGTGGTCTAAAAAACATGAAAGACTTCACAGTGGCAAAGTGGCAGACCTCTTTACCAGGTCATGATCCTCTTGACCAGCCACTGCTGCTGGTGGACTGGATCCCAAGGGCCCACTTTCGAACGAGAAGGGATTTCTGTTGTTGGAGTTCTTAAATTAATGACACATCATAAGCGACACAAAAACATTGTTTAAAACTTTGAAATGAGTGGTTTGCTGCAAATTATCCTGCAGCAGCTGTTATCCTGAAATCAGCTGTTAAATAACCCTTGAATCCCCGGGCTGGGGAAATGACACTCATGTTGAATTTTCTGCTGTCTGTTCTTCTATTGTGAGACAAATGTTTAAGCTTAGAACAAATGTTGAACTTTTCCCTCAGCCCCAGTTTCCCACAGCACATGTAGAACACTGAAAGAAGAGCAGAATATTGAGACAACTTCCTGAAGACACCCATCAGTAGGATAGATTTAAAAAAAAAAAAAACAAAAATTGTGGTGTTGGAGATTGGACCTAGGTGCTGTTCTGGACCGCTAATCTACACACTCAGCTCCAGTTACTAATTTTGCAGGATTGGGAACTGACCTCAGGGCCTTATGAAGGCTGGGCAAGTCATCTACAATTGAGTTAGTATTTCAGGTCTTTTAAAAAATATCTAGGGTCAGGGTCTCTCCTCGTATTCTATGACCCTCCTGTTTCACTTTGTCACATGGCTGACATTATAGTTGATGCGAAATGTCGTTATCAGGCTCAGAACTGTTGTTTTAAAGGTGGAAGGTCAGGAGCTTAAGGTCATTGTTTACTACACAATAAGTTGGCTTTAAGAAATCTGTTGGATAAAGCAACCAACCCACCCACCCACCCTGCAACCACTAGGTTTTATGCTATCTTATATCCAGGTCGGTTTTTAAAAATGGATTCCCAGTGCTCCTCTTCTTACATTACATATTCTGACTTAAATTTTTGGTCTTCCTGTAACTTACTGCTCCAGATGAAGCTCATGTGAGACTTGGGGGAACACTCTTAGGCAAAAAATGGGCAGGCAGGGAACAAAGGTCCATGTGACTTGTTCATAACATCTGCACTTACTGTAGCATCTGAGGAACTGTTAATGTTCAGATAGCAGTGTTTGTCGTCGATAATGTCAGGAGAGTAAGACTGATGACAACCTTATTTCATCTTTTTCAGAATGCATATCACAATGTGACTGCTGAGCAGCTCTTTCTAAAGAGCATTATAGAGAAAAATATGGTAATCAACTTGACTCAAGATTGACCAAACAGATGAAATACGCTAAAAAGTATTAGTTTTATTTTTGTATTGCAAATTTTAGTTTATTTTGAAACGTGTTGAATGAACTCAATTATGTATGTTAAATCTGTTGCTGCCTGGTGATTTATAACCACCAGCTTAATTCTGTGAATATATTTATGAAATATAAAAAATACCCTTTAGTCAACAATCAGGGAAATATGTAAAGTTCTGACTGTTGTTTTTTTTTTTTAAAACAAGCTGATGTTTTGAGGTGTTTTAAAATACCGTTTGTAGTTTCTTCATCTTAGAGATCCAGATGATTTAGCTGATATCACTGGTTCTGATGGCCACATTCCCAGGCAATTATTTATTATTCCTGGCATATGACTGGGGGCCAGGGGCAGGAAACTAGGACCACTTGGTTGTGGAATCCACAGTGTGGTGGTGTACATAGCGGTTCGGTAAGTTACCCATGCAATCGATTAAACCAGTACTAACCTGCCGTGTTAGGGAGTAAATCAGAGCCTTTCTTGTACATGCAGGTAAGCACCCTCGCCTTGATGAGCATCCTGAGATTTGGGGGCTGGGGGTGGGGGGTGGCACGTTCTTCCCACGTAGCCCAGGCTGGCCCCACCCTCCTAAGTTCTGGAATTACAACTGTGTGCCAGTGTACCCTGTAGCATCATTTTTATGTAAGCTCTGGATGGCCTAAAAACCACAGTGCAGTTCAGGCTGGCCTCGAACTCGGAGGAGGGCTACCTCTGCCTCCAGAGTGCTGCGACTACAGGAGCATCAGTGTGTGTGTGTGTGTGGGGGAACTAAACAAGGTCAAGAATGAGAAAACCGAAGTATTTTCCCAGTTTAATGTATTCATTAAATCTTATTTGGAGCAAATTAGAAAAGTAAAACAATGAAAGTGGTAACGCCTTAAGATTGCAGCTGGCTGTTTGTCTGCATGGGGAAAAAATTTTCATTCGACTAAGTTTAGCCTGCACTCAAACATTTACCAGGCCGCTTCAGGTGAGGAAAGTCTGATGACGAAAGCTAAAGCTAGCCTTGTGATGCAGTCTCCCTTCTCATCTGTTAACACACACAACCAAAGGCTCCTGGAGGTATGATGGGAGAACAGAAGAGTTGAGAATGGCCTCAGATACTGTCAGAAATGGGAGGTGCATAAGCCTCATTGGAAATATTGGTGTCCGTGGCAACCAACTTGCCACCTTGAGAGAGTACACATAAAGAGTTAAACACCAGAAAAAGAATGAACGAAATACTGAAAAACAGCGATGTCGCAGGGTGAGTTAGTTGCTGACTTGGCAGAGGTCAGGCAGTGAGGCCAGCTCATATCGGCACAGTGCCCAGCCTCCGCTTGGAGTTACCAAAGGACTCACCATGTTCATGGGGTGTTTCCCTCTTACAATGGACATGAACCTGGGCAGCGCAGCTCCCTGTGGCCGTGCAGTAAGTCAGGCTTGAAAAAGGCTAGAGCTGGCGGCAGGGGAGGAAAGGAGAAAGAAAAACCAGTGGTAGCATTGGAAGGAAATGATGCTGTAGGCACTATAGAATCTTGGTGATAAAAATGTGGCCTTTGTCAATGTTGAGAAATCTGGCAGTTTATGGAGCATGACGTCAGGGTTGTTTTACTGAATCCAAATAATCTGAGCAAGACACATATATATAATTTATTAAAAACACATTAGAATTTCACTATTTTCAACAGCCTAAATTCTAGCAACATATACAAATATCAAGTGACTACAGTACATGCCGAGGTAAGAAAAAATACATTCTGGGAGAATATAACTGACACTCAAGCCATTTTCACTTCCTCTGTATTTCAATACATGTTTTATTTTTACCATCCCCAGTGCCAAAAATGGAAAACAAGAGAAACTACATACAAACTGGACTAAAATAAGAATTGGTGCCACAGTTAACCTAAACACACTCGAACCATCCAACTCACTAGATTTTGCAGTTTAGGGACTTCAAGTTCAAAACCAAAAAGGTAGAATTAACAACTCCTGCACAGAGCTTTGTCAGTTCTCCACAGAGGGTCTGGAAACATCCCAGGGTCCCCACAGTCTGAGTTCTTTCTAGTGGTCTCGTCTGCCTTGGTTTCCTACTTTCTAGGTGACAGTGTGGAACCAAGGCCAAAAAGCTCCTGCTCAATCCCTGACCACAGCTTTGTGATCACACCCTTATTTTAGTGCTTCGTCCCTGGGACAGGGGGGAGGACAAGCACACACATAGAACACACCATAACCGTAATGACTGTATAAATTCTCTAAGTGAACAGCAAATAAACCATTGTTCAATTCAAAGTGCACATAGTGAAACATGAGTTAAATAACTGGACTAAACCTGGCACATTTGACAGGATCTACAAACAGCATTTAATAAGACGCAAACCAGAATTCACAAATTCACAACACCTTTATCTGTGCTGGTTCCAAGGGGCAGGTAACAGCCAAGTCGGTGTAATTTTCTGAAACCTCCAAAGGCCACACTTGCCTCAATGCTGTCTACATTATTTCTATAAGTGTATTACTGGGAAACAAAAAATCAGATAAACCACAGTGACTTAAGTATTGAATATTTCAAGCAAAGAAATAAAAAAGAAAATATAGCAAGGAATTTGGTCAAGAAATGGTTCCTTTCACATTTTACTTGATTGTCTTCCAAAGCTCTGTATCAGACATGTAAGTGACCGAGAACCTAAAACAATCTATAATACAAAACCAAAGTCAAAATAAAAAGCCAGGAAAAAAATCATTTGAATTAGGCTCAGCTCTTCATCAAAGTGAAAATATGTAAAAATGAAAACATATAAAAATAACTAGTTATTTTATGAAAACCATTGGTAGAGCTCAAAGACAGTACAGTGGCAAAATGAATCAAGTCTTACAATATGCATCACACCAGAAAACGTGGCCTCCTTTTGATTTTTAAAAAGTTCTGGGGAAAATTATCTGAGACACGGTTACACAAAATAGCAAGCTTCTTTGGGAAAATGACTTCATCTTCAACATCTCTCTCTTAAAGCTTCCGACAGGAATCCGACTCCTAAGAAAACTCTACTCTGCATACTAAGCATGAATAAGAATAAAACAGCAAATGGTTTACTTTGTTCCCCCCCTGAAAGGGGACAACTGAACCCTGTGCTTTACACATTCTTCAATGTTTCAGTACAAGTTCACTATCTGTGCTTTTTCGCTTTGTTACTTTGAAACAAAATATGCATTGATTTTTCAGTGAGTGAAATTGTGCCTCAACAGTCTGCAAAATTAAAGGCAACTTACAATAAAAACAAAATCACAGGAGGAGGCAACCCGCAGAAACAAACAGTTCTGTTTCTGAAGCAATGTTTTAAAACACAGATGTACTTGTGGAAGGAAGCAAAGTCAACACTGTTTACCCTTATCCAAATTTAGTCAAGTTTGGTGATGTATAACCTGGATGGTACAAGCTGAGAAAAAGACCAGGACTTGATGGTCCAGTAAGTAGACTTTGGGTTTGTGGACAGGAATATGGAGTTTAGTTTTCTTGCCACGACAGATATCAGAAGGTGGTTTCTGCACTACAGGCTAATCCATTACAATGTCTACTTTACCATATCTGAAACGAGTGCAGGGCAGGTCATGCTCAAGCATCGACAAGTAAGATGCTGGGAGAATCACATACAGTTCCAATGCATGGTCAGCCAGGTCTGACACAAAGGACTACTTAGGTCCCACAGAATCACACAGAACTGATGACTGCATGTTTGCTGTTTTATTCTGTGTGTAGTACTAGGATTGAATCTAGGGCCTCACTCATGCATAGGCAAGCACAAAACACTAAGACATCTCTCCACCCCCTTCTTATTTTGAGACAGGATTTTAGGAGTGGCCTAGGTTAATCCTGAACTTACTCTCTAGACCTCAAAGCATTAAACTTGGGATGCTCTTGCCTCAGCCTCAGCCTCAGCCTCAGGTTCTTGGGAAGCCTGAGCCACCAATCAGGTCTGGTTCATATTGGTTTTCTTTTTCTTATAATAATTTATTGAAGAAAACTGAATTAAAGTATGATTAAAATTATAAAATACCCTCAGGACTCAGAAAAATTTTGAATTTGTGCTTGTGTGTAAATAAAACCAAGGAGGTTAATTAAGTTTTAGTCTCCAATTCTTCCCTAAAGCATTTACATATCACTTCAGAGTGAAGCAGAGGGATTCTTTCCTTTGCAGCTTTTGTAAAGATGTCCTGGGTGGGATGACCATAGGTGAGACCTGTGCCACCAGGTGTTAAAAGTCTGTCACCCAGTGTACTGCAAGGCAGGGTGCTCCAGCTATGCACACTCCTAGGGAAATACAGAGCGGTGCAGGGGACTGCAGCTAGGACAATGTTTATGGGTCGCTGTTGTGAAGGAAAAAGATTGCACACAGTGATACAGGGTTGAGAGAGAAGATGATAGTACCTACCTTTCACAAAGGGAGAATTTCAAGCCATTTGATATTTCAAGAACAGTACCATGCATTATTGCCAGCAAGGCTTACAGAACCATCTCAAGTTCATTAGTGTATACCTGCAGCATTGGTAATAAATACTCAGTGATTTTCAGGTTCTTTGAAGTGCATTAGAGGGAGCTTTTTCTGTATTAAAAATAGTGTTTTACAGTAGTAACAAACAGGGTGTTTGAAATGTAATGGGCAAGCAGTAAATGCGCCACACAGTAACCTTTAAAGCAAGATGGCAAGATAAGTAGTTTCTTGTACATCGATCACCACATTCCCCTAACCACTTCAGTGACAGATACATAATACATTCTACTATTAATTACTACCACTATGGATGAAAAAGCCATGTGCTTTAAATGGATGCTTTGTAAAAAGCAGCACCACTGTCAAAGGATTTCTTTAAAAACATCACACTTCTCATCCCCTCCTGCTCCCGATACTTCCTGGGTGCTCTGTGGGACCTGGTACACCAGTTCCTCTGGGGCAGCGGCTGGCTTCCCACCTTTCGGGGTGTCGTACTGAGCCTGGCCTGAGGAGGAGCAGCTGTCAGTCCTGGAGAGAAGTGTGTTGTAAGTTCCCACTAAAGCTGGAGGTTGGTTCCCTGCCGTTTTGAAGGTGGATGTGGAGGGCAGACCGATTGAGGCCGTGGGGTGCCCTGACATGTCCATGACGATCGGGGTTGCGTACTCAGGCCCTGTTATGGGCAGAGGTTCAGCATAGGCATGGTACACTTCCTGCACTGGAGAGTTGTAAGGATCTAGGTCTGCGTAGCCTGCTTCTTTTCCTTCTTCGGGTTTAAAGGTAGACCTCTGATGGAGTGTGCCAACAATTCCTCCCACGAGGGGCTGTGCGTATTCTGTGGGCACCATGAGACACAATGGGACACTTGTCTTATGAAAACAGATTACATACTTTAAGGTGACAGCTATAGGTTGTACCAAAACCAGACATTACATCATGGCACTGTTGTCTTTATCAGTGGAAAACTATAGCATTCCCGCCCACAGGGACCAGTAGAAAAATAAAAAATATGTACCTCACAGTAGTAACCTGACAACAAAAAGCCTCATCCCTACACTTCTGCATCAAGTGTTTGTATATGTTGTTTAGTTTTATAAGCAGTGCCTGAATGGAAGTCGGTGTTTTATTGACGGAATAAGAATTAGTCTTAGGAAATGTGAGCTCCTTTCCCTTTGAACTACCAGGAAATGGTTAGGATGGGCAAGTACTAGGGCAGCAGGATGCCACTGTCCTTCAGCTTTTCCTGATCTTCTATTACCTTGTGTCCTGGTGATCATGCACACATGGAGGCCCGAGGTCAACACTGGGGCTCACCCGTTTATTGGGCTAGCAAACCAACCCCCAGGCTAACAGATATAATGCCCAGGGTCTTAGAAAGGAATGCTTCGGTTTTATGAACAGAATATCTAAGCAGAAATGATTCATTCTCAAGGTTATCTTTTATCTTAAATTTTTTTTTAAATGTGTATGAATCTTTGCCTACATGCATGTCTGTGCATTGTGTGTGTGCCTGGTTTCCTGCAGAGGCCAAAGAAGGCATCTGATCTGTGACCCAGTACTGTGAGCCACTGTGTGGGTGTTGGGGATGGAACTCAGGTCCTCTGCAAGAGCCAAGTGCTCTTAAGTGTTAAGCTGTTTCTCCAGCCCCAGAACACAGGTTATTGTAAGTCCGAAAGTCCTTGGAACAAGTGTAGGTGTTCACAGTCTCACCTGCAGAATCAGCTTGTAGCACTGTGGTGACTTCCCTCGGACTCAGGTGACTGAGCTCACTATTGCTGTAGCGAACCGGCGTCTCCTCGTGCTCCACAGATTTGGCAGGGAGAAACTGCTTCACTCCTTTCCACCAACCTTCATTGTGATTGTAAGCCAGGGGCCGTGCATTACTTACAGAGACCAATTCTATAGAAATCAGGCTCACATTCGAGGTAACTTTGCTCTGACAGAGTGTCCAGCACAAAGCAGCTAACTGTAGAAGTCTCAACCCAACGCACACCCAGAAATAAATCACACCAAGACATGATCAGACAGGGTCACCACAAGGTTTTTAAAAAAGCTTTCCTCAAAACCTTTTTAGCTCTCCTTGGGCTGGACTGTTTAGCCAGAGGCCTGGTATACTCTGGCCATGGTACTGACCTAGTAATGAGACTAGGAAGGGGACTTCAGCAATTTAGATGGCCAAGGTTCTTAAAGAACTGGATTCCACTGGTGATCACCATGGTAGTCTCTCTCTATGTCTCTGTCTCTGTCTCTCTCTAACACACAGACACACACACACACACTCACACAGAGTTATTGGGACCCTGGTCATTGTTTCTTTTTTGGTTTTGTTTTTTTGAGATAGGGTTTCTCTGTGTATGTAGCCTTGACTGTCCTGAAACTCTTTTTGTAGACCAGGCTGGCCTTGAACTCACAGAGATCTGCCTGCTTTTACCTCCCAAGTGCTGGGATTAAAGATGTGTGTGACCACTGCCCGGCTGGTCCTTGTTTCTTACTCAGTGCTCACACAGAGCACATGGAAGCTGGTCTCCTCAAGAGGAGTAATTGCAGGAAAAGACAAACATTCCGAGGAAAATATAACAATGGGTGTTGCAACAAATTTATATTCTTCCTTTAATTATTATGAAACACATGGAGGAAACATGGTGATTTCTTTTTTTCTAATGACTTATTTTTATTTTATGTGCCTTGCGTTTTATATGCATGTATGTCTGAGTTAGGGTGTCAGATCGATCCCCTGTACCTGAAGCTACAGACAGTTAGGAGCCACTGTGAGGGTACTGGGAATTGAACCTGGGTCCCCTGGAAAAGCAGCAAATGCTCTTAACCACTGAGCCATCTCTCCAGCTGTAGGACAGTATGTTAGTTTCTAACTGAGGCATCATCACTAAGGGTTAGAGGACATTTTCCTCCTCATACCTAGCAGAGGAAATATTTCTTTCTGACTGGAAGGAGAAGCTAAGTCCACAAGTTACCTGCCCGATCCCAGTGTGGTAAGTCATAGGTGCCTTCGGGTTTCTTCTTTCTGAAATTAAAAGTTAGGAAACAGTCAGTCCTCTAGTAAAAATCTCCCAAGGCACAGCACAGACAGCCATTATGAACTAGTCAGGAGCATGTGGTCCTTCAGCACAGATACATTTTGAGTCTCTCGTACTCCTAACTGTATGGAGGTTCTCATCCATGCAAGCCCAGCAAACAACAACCTATCACTACCAGTGACAAGTGGTGGCAGGAGGGGATGCTCCTCCAGGCCCGGAAGGCCCTCTAGAGTCTGTGAGAAGAAAAAGGCACAAGTGTGGTGCACAAGTCTATTCCCAGCCTACTCCCCAGACCTCACAATTCACTACTGTCTTTCAAGAATCACTATTTACTCAGAGCTTTTTACTTAACAAAAGCATCCGTGAGAGGGCATTTTCAGACACAAGGGACAATCTCACTGGGGTTGGGGAGATGGTTCCCCCATCAAGGGGCTTGTCATCTAGCCTGGGGGGCCCGGAACCCACAGGGTGGAATGAGAGAAACAGACTCCTACAAGTTGTCCTCGATGTGCACGTGTGCGTCATGGTATATGTACATCTATATATGCAGTATACAAATGTAAGGACCAAGCCAGATCAAATTCCAGCAAACAAAAGGGAGGTGGTTATGAACTTCTGCCCCCCTCTGAGGAGTTGTTAAAAGCTACCTGAAGAGGGAGAACTAGTTTTCTTCCAGGGTGTGGCCCCTAGTAGGTGGATGGCCACACGCCCAAAAGTATACAAACACTGATTAAGTTGGATAGGTATGGATAGATAATGTTGGGTGGGTATGTAATGAGGGGAGGGTGGATCTGGGAGGAGTTGGGGTGAGGGTGAGTATGATCAAATGTAATTATGCAATTCTCAATTAATAAAAATATATTATAAAAACAACAAAAAAAGTATTACTACTCATTCAAAGCTGTTTACAAAGAAAACCTAGCAAATGAAAGTCCACTGATAGAAACATACAAACCTAATCTAATTAAAGTTAGTGATTACAGTCAGGCTACCAAGAAAGCAGAAATTACTCTGCTTTACATATGAGGATACACATAGCTTCAGGGTTTGTTTAAGATCACCAGTGTGTCTTTCCCAAAGAGTTCACACCATTTACTTTGCCTGCTAGGATGTACAGATCCTCTGGCACACCGGTCGATACTTGACACAAGGTGGCAGCCAAGTATTCAGATATTTGTTGAATGGTGAATGAATGAAGTCATCTGCTTTCTCTATCAAACCTGTCCCTCCTGGGGTTATCTCGATGCATGGCATTGCTACTAGTCGAACTCCAAAAGCCAGAAATCTCACCCCACCCCAGAATAATGCCGTCTTCACCCTTCTGCCATGTAAAGCATGTCTGTAGAAGCATGGTGCTGTACTTCTGCCTGACCAAACTGTTTCCTCATCTGATTATAACCACTTAACACCAAATACTTTGTGTTTTAGAGACAGGGTTTCTCTGTGTAGCTTTGGAGGCTGTTCTGGAACTTGCTCGGTAGACCAGGCTGGCCTCAAACTCACAGAGATCTGCCTGCCTCTGCTTTCTGAGTGCTGGGGGCATGCACCACCAATGCTTGGCTTAACACCAAATACTTTCTAATCTACAGAACAAAACGGGAAAGCCCTCCCTGACCCAAGCTCAAAGTGCACCTCCTTAGTTACATCAGTGCACCCCCATGCCAGGCTCATAGGAGAGGGCTCATTGCTTATTCTGCCCCCGTCCTATCTCTGTCTTTACTTAAGCAATTCCCCCAGTTTGGGCTAGTCTTACCTGTGACAAGACTGAATGCCTGGGTCTTTCCAGGTTTCAGATGTTGGAATCCTAACCCCATATGGTGATAGTGTTGGGAAGCGGAGTTCTAGGGAGGGATCAGGTCATGATTCCATTGGAATCTGTACCCCTAGAAGAGGCCTAAGGGAGCTTGTTCACTCCTCTCCACTGTCTGAACCACAAAGGAGTCTCTCAATAGCCCCTCATCTGTCAGCACCTCTTGTTCCAATTCTCAGCCTCCAGAACTACAACAAGGAAACTTGATTTACAAACCAAGTTTTATGGTATGAAAACCTGAACATTAAGACATCTGCTCTCTTCTATCTGGGCAGATCCCATCTCTTTGGGCAAAACATGAACTGTCCTTCTCGAAGAGAGGGTTTCAGGCTGACTCTCATGGTCCTCCGAGCACTTCATTTATGTAACACTCACCAAACATGAGTGTTTGCTATTTTCATCAGCCAACCCCACTCAACATGTTAGAGAAGTCAGTCAATTTTTCCAGTATTACCAAATAGCTGTATGTCAGTATTCATCTTAATTTATAGATACTAATGTAATTCCTATGAGAGCTCCACAGTAACCAACTGTCCTTGGAGCTGAAGGAGAGACCTGGTTTTATTCTAGTGACTACCCTACAGGTGAATGTACTGGACTTCCAGGATTTTATACACCTAGGGTCGGTTTCCCGTCACTTCATGTCTCCCGGGATCAATCATGCAAACAAGCCCAGTACTGACCTGTTTCTCCAATGCCAAGCGCACACTAGAATGAGGATGAGTGTGGTGAGGGCCATGACCAGCACAGGAACAAGAACAGCAGCCAGTGCGACATCTGAAACCATGAAACAAAACAACCCCTGTAAGAGTGCAGCAGAAATTGTGAAGGAAAAGACAAAGACGTCGAACCAGATTAGCATAGCTCAACACTTTCTGTCTCAAAGAATATCTTAAGCATCATTTATAAAACAAGACTGGTCTCAAATGGGTGACACAGTCTGTGGACAGTTTCTTCATCATTCCATCTCTGCATGTGTTTGAATGCACTACAGACTTTAAATTGCCAAAAGTTGAAAGACAAATGAAAAGCATCTCGGGTGTACACAGTAGAGTGTGTGTTGTAAGACATCACAGGTCAAAAACAAGGTAACAAGTTCATGGTCAACCGGCAATCCATTAAGAAAATACAAGCAAGCCTCAGCTTCAAAGAAATACCTGTTAAAATCAAAACAAGGTTCTACTTTTTCCATTAAAAGATTAGGCATTTGTTGGACAGGAAACAGGTTTGTTGACGAGACTATGAATACTGTATTTCCAATTGATGTCTTGAGGCAGTATGCATAGGAACCCATTAAAAGCTGTCATTTTACATCAATAATTTATTCTTGGGAAGACATCAAGATATTCAAAGAAACATCCTTCAAAGATGTCCATTCCTGTTTCTACAGAAGAGTGAAAACTGGAATATGAAGATCCAGTGATGAACTGTGATATCTTCACTATAGATGAGATAATCTAGCAACCAAAAGTGATGCTACAATATCACAACAAAGTCTCTGTAGATATGGCCAGGTAGCAGAGGAGCGAAGCACAGAAGCAATCTGTGCTTAAATAGTCAGAAACACACTTGATGCTGGAGTAGGCAGGGATGTAGACATCACTTCCCATCCTCATCTCGGTTCACTGAAAATGGTCCGCTTAAAGCTACTTGGAACAGTAATTCCTTCCTTCACTCCTCAGTCCTCTGCCGTCAGTGGGCAGGATAAGTCACCGAGGGCTCAGAGTGGCCACTGTGTGTCTAACCCACAGCATCTCCTTTACCCTGTACCCAAGAGGAAGACACATTCCACAGAAGAGAACAGGACAGGGTGACGGCAACATCAGGTACTTAGGAAACAGATGTATGAGTAACCAGGTCCCGGGGATGGGATTGGGTATGGGCAGCACAGGCGGCTTCCTTTACAAATGTCTTAGACAGAGGCTAAAGGTTAAGTCTGCAGGCTCCTCCCAAAAAGGGATTTTCCTTTTTATGGTTTCCACCTTGTAAAGGTGGAGAGGAAATGGTGGGTGAGTGAAAACTCTTTTGGTCAAGTGTTTGAGAATATGGGGAGTATTTAAAATAGCTTTAGGAGAGAACAGGGGAAGAGCTCACTGGAGACATCTCTAAGATTGCCATCACACATCTGACCACGATATGATTTTCTCCGGGAGGAAGAGGAGTAGTAGCAGCAGCAGTAGTAGATAAATTAGAATCATGACTGGGGCCAGGAAGCCTTCAGAGATCAGAAAAATAAAAATATCCTTTTCTTGTTTTTTTTTAATAGCTGGAGGGAACAGTACAGGTTTATATACATGGCTACTCTGATTAAAGCCCAGACATTACGACATCTGACTAGACACAGGAGCTAGTGAAGCTGCGGCCTTGTAAGCACAAGGTCCTGAATTCTTTGTCCAGAACCCATGTTAAATACACAAAAAGCCCCGAGTGTTGGCAACACAGTGGAGGCAGAGATGGGCAGATCTGGGAGGCTCGACAGCCAGCTAACATTGCTCGGCTGGCAAGTTGTAGGCCAGAAAGAGACCCAATCTGACAGAAAAGGTGGATGGTGTCCAAGGAACACATCTGAGTTTGTCTTCTCATCTTCTTATGTAAACACAAACAATTCAGCTTATATTTGAAAAAAGAAAGAAAAAAAAAAACATAGCACATTTGCTTTACTACTGGGAAGCTGGGGGTGGTTCCTGGGATATGCTCAGTTCTACTTGCCTTGAGAACTCCCATTTCTGTTTAGCTTTCCCTACCCCGTGAAGAAGATAAGACATGAAAGAAGCTCATGTATGGAAAGCTGCAGAAAGCTATCTGAATGTATACAAACTGTTAGAAAATGAAAGTAGTTATTAGATTCTAGAAGGGGTGGGTGAAGCGCCTTCTAGTGGTCGGAGAGTAGCGACTGAAACATTGAGACTATACGCCAGGACTGGAAGCTTTCCCCACCCGAGATCATGTACAAGCTGAGAACGCGTGAGAAAAGCCGGTGATACAAACGGGAGTTTGTGCGGTTAAAGGTCTTACAGAGAGAGGGCTACACATCTCGGGGCTTTCCACTCTTGATGTGCTTTTTCCACCAACTGTCTCTCTACTTTTATTTCTAGCCACGAGTCCCTGGTACAACCCTCAGTGAGGGGACATAAGAGCCTGGGGTCAGTCCAGTATCACTGAACCCAGAACCACAGCCTGGCACCAAGCATGCTTTGCCTTCTTTCTCCCTTTTCCAGATGTCTTATGTGTACCCATCCCCGGGGGGGGGGGGGTTATTTCTCACCAGTGGATGCCTTCTTCTCCTCTCCCACAGCTGCTCACCTTGCTTGCCAACTTTCTCTTCACACCCGCCCCCTCCCACTCTGCAGCTGTGCAGATTTACAGCTTGCTGCCCTGCTGTTTCCTTCTCGGGATGTTATAAAACCATCCTGGAGCTCTGCACTTTTATTAATGAGACCGGACCTAGCGTTTCCCTAGTAACTCTTCTCCACTGAAAACGGAGCGGCTTTCGTCTGTTAGCTCTCGCTGTAATTCCATGACACTGGTACTTTATTTTCTGAAATTAACTGCAAATTTTCTTTTCAACAAGTAAAAGGAACTGCAATGGTTTCACCACGTTCATACAGTTCAGAAGTAATTCTAATGCTTGAATGAATAATCAGAAAAAAATCAAAATTACAAATGTATAGAAAGCAGAGGATTTTTTTTTTTTTTTAAAAAAATAATGAATGTTACTTGAAGTATTTGTTTCTACCCAAAAGAATTTTTGGGTAGAATTTTTGGGTATTTTTGTTTTTTCCTCTCCTCTATCAACATCTCCTTTGTGAAGCAACACATTCTGTGGGTAAAAAAGCTTGTTTACTGCTGTGGCTTAATCATTTCTAGAAGTGATACGTATCTGAGCTTGAGACTGTGTCCTTAGTTGACGGGTGTCATACGGGGCGGCCTACAGAGCAGCCCAGGGCAACAGTTAAGCACCAGGCTTATATGTACCAGAGAACAGACTTAGGTACATGGGAGCTTTTCCCTAAGGAGAGAAGTTCATTTTCTTTAGATGAGCTGCAAAAATACAGATGACGTCCGTGAACTGGAGAGCTGGAAACCCCGAGTTGAAAACAAGAAGCCCCACCGGGTAACAGAGTCCACACCTGGTCTGGTCTGCCTACCTTTGGTTACATTGGGAGTTACAGTTGTATTTTTTATATCAGGAGTGGCAGTTGTCTGTGATGTCTGTGCAGGAAGTTCATTCCTACTTCGAGGCTGAAGTGCTTGGTTAAATTTAGGGGCACGACCTTGAAAAGAATTTGAAAATATATATATGTATATATATAAATCATTAGCACCTTGATAAGATAAGTTGATTTTTTATAATGTTTTAGATATACTTATAGGACATTATGTCATAAATCCAGAGCATATCGAACTCTCATACCTTTTCCTAGTTTGGGATGAGCTGTAGTGTTCTTGAGGTTATTGCTGTTCCGAGGTGGTGGAGGTTGAGTAAGCTTTGGAAGACGGCCTTAAAAATGGTTTAGAAATGTTTACATATTTTGCTTTAAAAAATAAACCTTAAAAAGACTGATGTTAAATGGTCAACATTTCCTAAACAAATTCTGTAGAGCAATTTTAAATCTCAAAATCCAGATGGATAATTATACTCCACATTAAGTGCAGGAAAAAAAAAAAAAACCTAAGGATTTTCAGCATTTAAATAATCATTAACAGACACTTAGAAGAATACTGGAGAGCAGAAGGCTACTCCACAGCTATAATCAGGGTATGCCACATTCAGTGCATTGAATACATATGTACAACCAGCCAGCTACATCAGGCACAGTGGGAATTTTGTGGATCATGGCAGTAAATAATAGCCAGGGGATGGTGGTGCTCGCCTGCAATCCCAGCACTTGGGAGGCAGAGGCAGGCAGATCTCTGAGTTTGAGGCCAGCCTAGTCTACAAGGTGAGTTTCAGGGCAGCCAGGACTATTACACAAGAAAACCTTGTCTTAAAAAAAAAAAAGGAGTAAATAACATTAAAATGTTATAAAATATTGAGTGAATTATTACAGTTTTGAATTACTTGGAAATAAAAGCTCCTTATGCTAAGGCTGCTGTTTAAATCTCTGGTGCACATCTCACCACACTAGGCTGATGAGACTCTTTAAGACTGGAGATGGGATAATCCTGCCTTTTCATTTGCGTTTTCAAACCATTCTGATGTGCAGCTTTTTATAAGAAAAAAAAGACGAGAAATTCCTACTAGAGAGAGGACTTTGAAAGGTTTCCAATACAAAGAAATTATATGGACTTGAAGTGACAGAAAAGCCCATTACCCTCATCATTATATCTGCATACATGCACAGAAATGTCTATCCATGTGATTACTAAGTGTCAGTTAAGAAGGGAACTGGAAAGGGAAGCTGAGCAGACCACTGGCATACACACTGACTCTTTACCTTTGAGAGTAAACTGGCATCCGAGGAGTTCCACTTTCATGGCAATTTTCTGTTGCCATTGGACAGGGTTCACTCTAATGAAACGTGCAATAATTGGTGGCAAAAAGTTATTACGAACATCCTTGTGATAATCTTTGTTTCCTTGAAATATCTTTAAAAAATAACAAAAATTGGCATTTTACATCAAAAGAGACCAGAACTGGACTGCTCCATTTAAGCATGTTCAACAACATCTGTAAAGTATGACAATAGAACAGACTTCTCAGAAAATGCCTCAATTGCAATCTGGGAAAAACATGATTAAGATGTTGCACATTTTCCACTGGAGTCTATATGAGGGAAACACTAACTACAAAAACACGTTTATGATGGCTTAAGAACTGAACCGGAGGGCTAACCTGGCAATTTGGGAGAAGTTTCAATTGCAGTGACACAGTTAATTGTATCAATAAGCTATCAGCCCCAGTACCTGTGGAATTAATGATTATTTAAACATATTGATTTTATTTTTAAAGTGAAAAGGAGCTGATCACACAAGGGACTGGTTGACTCTCTTCACTCACATACATTTTTTCTCCTTTTGCTGGACCCGGACTAGCAAATGTAAACAAGCCTCTGTCTCCCCCTGCTGGACCAACTGCATCATGACATTCCCCTCATAACAATCCCAGTTTTCATTACTTGTTGCTTACTTGAAGTGACAATAAAATAACTCTGAAACAGTGTTCCATCTAATAGTGACTGTAACTAAACAGCTAAAAATGCATTACATAAGCAATCTTAAGTAAAAGCATAATTTGAAGTGATCACCTCATTCCCTCATCTCTGCCAGTTCTTATAAAGAATTTTCACATACTTGCTATAAATGGTCTCCAAGGCAGGGCACAGAAAGAGTGACCCATAGAATAAGGGTGGCCAGCAGCAGGGAGCTGACTTGACTGAGTCCTCTGAGAACATGCACACACCGGACAAGCCGGCCCCAAGTATAAGAACTATTTCTTTTTTTGGCCCGTCCACGTGTAACCAGATTATACACTTTGGAAGATGCATTAGGAGCTAGAAGGTTTGCTCTAAGAGTCTAATAACCTCCACTTCTGTAAGCTTCTACGATTTCCTCTGACACTGTTCTGAGATGAGCTAAAGGCAGACACTTGCAGCTTTGTTATCAGAGAACAGGAACTGACTGAAACAACATTCGGGACAAAACTATAGGCAAAGGCTGGGGTGCAGCACAGTTGGTAAAGGGCTTGCTCGTGTGCACAAAGCTCCAAATCCTGCTCCGTCACCACATAAGACTGGCTGGGGTGCAGCATGTCTACAATCCCAGGCTCCCGGTGGTAGAAGCAGAAGAATCAGAGGTTCATGATCACCCTCACTATACAGCTTAAATCCAGGCTAGGCTCTGTAAGACCCCGTCTCAAAATAGCTGATCTACCAACGTTTACTGAGAATCCAGTGCACAGGGAGGTTCGAAGATAGCCTTAGGAAAAATAAGGATAGAAAGAAAACCCTACTGGAGGAGTATGTCATACAGGGTATTACCTCCCACCCATTCTCTCATTCTCCCCATACACAAACACACACAGAGATGGTGTAATATTGGAAAGCAATAGATTATGAAAGTTTAGGAAATATGTTGGTCATGTTTTCTGAAATAAAATCAAATTTAGGGTCTGTCTGTATTTGTGTGCAGACTCAGATGGCATGTGAAAACAAATACATCAATTACCCAAGGAATGAGCAAAAGGACAGGATGAAGTGAGAAGAGAGGCTGCTTTTTGATACAAATCAGTGTAAAAACGTTCTCTTCTGTCTGTAACTGAGTGACAAGAACTGGACCTCAGCCGCAAACAACTGAGGAAACGGCAAAGTGCATGACAGTAGTTCTCAAGACCCTGGACAACAGGGAGCAGCGGGTAAGAACCACAGAGAAGGGGAACAGACAAGGCAAGCCCCGCTTATCAGTGCTGACTGCTGAGTTTCCAGGCCACAGGGCAAGAGGATCCCATAGGGAACCTGCTGATCTTTTGGTGGAGCAGGCAGAGCCAGAGACCATGAGGCCAATGGACACCTAGAATTCTGGGGTAGAGTTTAGTAGAGTGAGGGACTGGAAAGGAACAGAGTGAAGGGCAGCAGGAATGGATGGGCTAGAGAAAGGCTACCAGGCTCTGCAAGGGGGTTTCCCTTAAGTTCTCTGCCATAAGCAAAGACACAGTTGAGAATCAGAAAAAGAACCCCAGGACATTAGAACAATCTTCAAATGCCATAGGCTTCAAAACACTCCACATCTCCAGGACACACTGGAGAAGTGTCATAACACATAGTCTCAATGGTGGTTGGCAAGTTAGAACCCAAAGGTGCTCAGCCCTGCCAGCAATACTTAAAATCAAGATCTGAACAGAAGAAAAAATGTTGCCCCAAAGCTTAATTGCACCCCAGAATAAAGCTCAAACACATAAAGGACTAATAATGACAACTAAAAGTCATCAATGGCATAAGGGCTGGCACTGTGATATGCAGGGTAAAGTTACTGGATAAGCACACCGAAAGAGTTATATCCTTCATGTTTCATGTGACAAAGACAAGAAAGAGAAATGTACAACTCCAGGTGAAAATAAACAAGGGAAAAATACAGGATTGAAGTTAGAAAAATGCACTAGATGGGGCTAAGAGATTAGACACCGAAGAAGAATAAAACAATGGAAAGGCAAAAACAAACACACAGAGGAAATCTCCAAGCTGAACCATGGAGAGGTAAGATTTTAATGAAAGAAGGAAAAGAAAAAAGATGAATGCACCAGTGCCATTGTGGGGTCACCTCAAGAGATGATGAAGTAAGTGGGGGAGAGAAAGTATTTGAAGGAAAACCCTGCAAGTCTCCTTGACACAAAATGCCATCAGTTCCTCTCCCTTGGGGATGGAGATTACTCCACGTAAAGACTCTCTCCAGACACCTGGAGTGGGACAGACACCCGAGCAAAACGCCTCCACCTCCTCTTCCATTTCATCCCCCGCTTGGCCAATGCCAGTTTCCACAATCTCTTGCTAACTAAGACAAACGTGCCGTTAGTATTGCTGAGAAATTCGGCAATGCTGCACATAGGAAAACTGACTGTACTGACACAGAAACTGGCGAGGCGATCTTCAGTGTTCTTTAGCTTTCGGCTCTGACTCCCTTCCCTCTAGCCTATAGCTGAAATCTGAGAAGGAAGTCAAGAGAGCATCATTTGGGGGACTTTGCAAAGACAAGACATTGAATGTAACTATTCAGAAGTTTTTACTCTAGTAGCCAAAATACTTAGATTAAAAATTCAGTAACAAAAGTCAGTCCTTCTCACATAATCACAAAGACCTGACAATTTTCCAAGCCTATTCATAAGTGAAGACAATAACAAACAGTGCCTAGAATACCCAGTGGAGAGCAGTGTAAGACATGATACTTAAGTATGAACTAGAGAGATTCTATGGCTTCCAGCACAGGCCCACTTTACCTTGTCCTGCTCCACACCAGGCTCTCTATACACAGTCCATTTCTGCCCATCGTCACTGTATAGAACTCTATAGGAAGACACATAGTAATTGTGTTCTACCATGGTAGATCCAGTGGTTACAATACCTGGAGAATAAAGAGTTGCTTTCATTAGTGCACAGGACAGACTCCCAAAGGCAGCTGTAACCACCTACGATGCACCTGTAAGAATTCCTGTCTGTGGCGTGTTTGCATCTCTGTGGGCAGTTTTTGTCCTAATAGTAAGGCCCTGGCTTTGCTCCTTTGGAGATGTGGGAATGATTATGGGCACATGCTAGGGAAGAACTATGGTGCCTTCGCAGCTTGTATTAGAAGGCACATTTCAACTACTAAGAATAATTTTTCTGGGAAAGAGCATTAAGCATGATGATTGGTATTTTCAGTAGCAAGGCAAAATTAACCTTTTAACAAAAGCCTCAAAATCAATTTCAATTATCCTGATCACTCTAAGTTCTTCTAAGTTAAATTCATAGTCAGCACATATAGAATGTAAGTTACTTCTAGCCCTTAAAATGTACTCTCTTTAACTATAAATTTCTTAAAAACTGTTAAGAGGCTACTATTTTAGAAGTCTCAAAGATCACTTCACTGAAACTCTACCTGAAAAGGATCATATTAAAATAAAACAGAGCTATTAAAAATTAAATGCAAATTCCTCCTTTGGCAGAATTTATAAAAGCATCCCCAGCAACATCAACACCAGTGAGGCACACCAAAGCTGACGCTTTGTATGTTTCCGTGACCTAGTTTCTGGAACTTTCAGCTGTCACGGGGTTTCCAAATCAGTCCAGTGCCAGAGGTGCGGCAGCCACTCCACTCCTAACCTGTTATCTTCTTCTCCTTATTCAGGTCGATTTGCAGCCACTGATGCTCATCAGTGGCAAAGGCAGCCCAGGGAGGCCCAGGTTTTCTCAGCCGAGCCTTCTCTGGCTTCCAGCTGTTTTCCTGCCCCATGTGGTCAGTCCACTCCAGCACAGATGACGCTGTTATCTGGGGATCGGCAATCACACCCGATTCCATCCCCAGAGTCCCATAACAGCCTGGGGTAGAGAGGAAGATCACTTTGGTTTCTAGAGGTCAATCTGAAATCTCTACAACAGTGCTTACTGGAGACTTGTGACTGCACAACTGAGCAACTGCTTCCTGATCCTCAGGTGCATTGTCCCTCGCTGTCTATGGGGGCCAATTCTGAACATCCCTTGCTGCCTGGCAGATACTAAAATCTGCAAATGCTTGTCTTCTTTTATAGAAAATGGGACAGTACTGGCACATAGTGTGCTATCTGTCAACTTTATGTCACCTCTGGGCTACTTATAACGCCTAAGGAAATACAAATGTGACATACACAGATTTAACACTATATTGTTTAGGGAAAAACAACATGGAAAAAAGTCTACACAGCATAGAAACATTTTTCCTCTAAATCGTTCCAATCTGTAGGTATAAAAGCCATGGATCTGAGGGATTGACCAGACTCATTTACAAGCATTAGCTGTTAGTCTGTGGAGATACACTACATTGTCTCTAGCCAACAGGCTAGAAGGCAGTGTCCTCCTGGACCTCTCCTAGGTTTTACTCATTTGTTGTATTTTTCTTGTAAAGCCTTCCCTGTCTAACTTTAAGCTTTCAGACAAGTGGCATGAATGAGTTCTTTCTTCACACAAGTTCAAATCATGCTCTCAAAGGGATCAAAGTCGTTTATAAAACCCTGTGGCTAGTGAACTTCGGATTTAGTCTATTCTTTATATAATTGGGTCTCTATTTTACTCCCAGTGTTCTTGAAAGCCAATGACAAAGAATAAACAACTCAGCAGTCACTGGGTGCCTGGTGGTGCTCAATACATCAGCTATTATGCAAAGATGATGCCAAGTCCATGGAAGGCTTACCACTTGTCTTAAATGTGAACAGACTTGTAGATAAATAGCCCCTGAAAGAGAGAAAGGGTCTCATGTGATACTCAATCAACATGTAGCTTCCTTATATTCATTATAGTGAAGCATTACTTTCTCCTGTTGTTTAAAGGGCCCAGAAAAGCCCATGATTACAAGTCAGGTGGCATGCATTACAAATTTCTTTTTTTCTAAGTAAAACAACCTGTGAAATTACCGTGAACAATTTTTCTATAAATCTAGCATCTAGGTTCACACGTGATTGCGCAAATGTGCCATGTAACCTTTAATTTTTATTTCTTTTTCATGAAATAAATACGTAAAACTTTTTTTTTCTTTAATTCTGCGAAAGAACATGCATTTCAGAGAATGAGGTGAGATTCAAGTGTAAGCACATAGAGTTGGCTACTAGCAAAGAGACTGCGTTTCCCTTAGAGAACATCAGCACGTCTGAGAGTGAGCTGCAACATCACATCTGGACTTCAAAGGGATGGGCAGAGTGGGTGAGCTGATAAGGATGGAGGGTGAGACAGGAGAAGAACTTGTCCTGTGACAGGACAAAAGAACAGGGAAGACTCCAGGAGACCTGGAGGGTGCTCAGTTACACTTCTTCCTCAACACAGTGCTCAAGTGGTCACAAGAGGATACAAAGTCTTTTTTATTTTGTTTGAGATATGGTCTCTCTCATAAGCCTGTGCTGGTCTTGAATTCACTAAATAGCACAGCTTGCATGTGAGTTCCTGATGCTCTTGCCTCTACTGCAAAAGCCCAGGAACTGCAGTCCTGAACCACCACACCCATCTTGTGTTCCATGAGAATCCTAGAAACATGCAGTTGTCCCTTGATATCTGTAGAAACCAGTTTCAGGACATCCCATACTCCCTGGAGGATATCAAAATCTACAAATGTTCAACTACACATGCCTCCAAACTCTAAAGGTAAAACACCGAAACGATGTGCATAAAATCATGTAGCAAAAAACAAAAGGAAGGCAGCTAGGCTCTTTTGCACGACAATAGGCTAAGAATATTTTCCCTGCAATCAAAAGGCTGTGGATAAAACAAACAAGAATGAGTGGAGCAGGCATGTTTTTGTTTGTTTTTAAGAGACAGGGTTTCATTGTGTAGTCCAAGCTGGCCTCAGACTCATAACTCTCTGCATCTGCCTTCCCTGTTCTAGGAATACGGGCATGTGCCTGCACGCCTGGCTGCTAAGACAATTTTCAAAGAAAAGCGTGCCGTTACTCTATCGTGTCCTGGATATGCACCATGCACTTTCCTCCTAAAAGGAAGCAGGCTGCAGTTAGGGTTAGTACACCTGCAGGACTAAGCACATGGAAGAAGCAAGATTTTAGAAGCAGACTGCTAATACTGTATTTTTATTTAATGTTTCAATTGGCCCTGATTTGGATGCCTTGTCTGTGTTTTACAAAATACCTGAATGCCGTAGAGACCAAGAGAATCCACATTTACTACCCTTGTGATGAGGAACTTCACAATACTGCCTCTGCTTTATGTCAAACTTTATGTTCTAGTAACTATTTCAGTCAGCCTCAGTCCGCTCTGGGTTGCACAAACTACAAGGCCCACGGTTTTTATCTTTTGAATCTTATCTTCAAAGAAAGTATGACCTTGCCCAGAAACTCCTAGGCTCTCATTCCAGACTCTCATTTCAAAGCCGAGAAAAGCGGCAGTGGTCACGAAGGACAACCTTCGCACTGCAGAACAAGGCAAGCAGTGCAGGACCAGTGAGCCTCTGGAAAGGACACCTCCATCCTGGTGGTCAGCCCACAGGCTGGGTGTGCAATGAGCCCCAGGTTTCCCGTTTCTGTGCGCTATCACCCTATTCCGGTAAGAAACCCTCATAAAGCTCATTGGTTCACCACACTGGACTATGGTGCTGTCATTGGGTGTCTCTCTGGTGGCATTTGTTTATGTCTCCCCAAGAACAGTGTCACACACAACTCTACTCCCCAGTATGCTTTCTTAAAAAAAAGAAAAGAAAAAGTGCACTTACACCACGGAAGTGACGTTGTTAGCCAAAGAGCTTTCATAGTACGGGGTACCTTTGCTAATCACAACACTGATCTGGCCACCCAGGACATTTGACACTACTCCTGCGTGGATTCCAGCCATGCACAATGGCGAAGACTTGAAAAAACAAAACAAACAAGCAAACAAAGCAAATGAACTTTTCTTACTATTATTCATAAGCAAGATACTTGTACTTTTTCCAGAAACTAGCTTATCTGGGCAGGTTCTCAGAAATACAAGTTATTGTAACAAAACATTTGTAGCAGAAGAGTTAGGTTTTACTACAGAGGCATCATTTCAAGCACATGAAAAGACAGACACACATAGTATATCGGCATCTTGGGAAATCAGGTGGCATCCTAAGCATTTCTGAGTTTAAAATAACAGTATACACAGCAGTAAAGTAAGTCTGTATTCAACTTACATCTCTGTATCCATGAGGAATTGTTCCAGATATTTCAGCAAAAGGGAGTAGACAGCCAGCTGGGCAGTATTTACTGAGAATGAAAACAAGTGAAAGATTACTGAATGTTCACTTCCTGTGGGAAAATACCCCAAAGAGAAATCCCATACACTTCAATACACGCTGATTCAGTTCAGTGTAGAGTACAACCCCAGCATGGCACGGAGCCGGCCCTAGTTAAGAAGCCCATTTAGACTTTCCTCTGCCCATTCACATGGAACATACTGGCAAAAATATTCTGTCTACAACTCCTTGATTATTTTATTTCGTCATGAGCAGCAGACACCTTTCTACTCTAGGATCTATTCGCCATGTCCCTCAGTGTCCACTATGTTGTTCGATGAGGTCTGTGACTTATGAATGTTAATCAAATAAAATATGGTCCTGTCACTGAACTTCATATTCAAATAGCAGAAAACATTCAGCCAGTATTTAGAGATATTTGGGGTGGGGGAGGGGATTTGTAAATAACTGGGAGAATTGCTTAATAAAATATATACATTCAGCAAATTTGCTATATAGGAGGGAGCATCCTGAGCATCTCAGGTAATCCACACAAGAATTCTACGTAGGAGGTACTTTTGTTATTTTTGTTTCCATTTTACAGACAAGGACAGTGCACCTGAGTCACAGGGCTAGGCTCCTCTTACAGGACTGGACATAGCTTATTCGAGCTAGCAGATGTCACTGATGTAAGTCACTGATGGGAAATACGTGTCAGGATCTAGGAAAAGCATGGCCCTGAGGATGCTTTGGTGTAGTCATGAAATGGTACCGAGTACAACGAAGCTAGGGAGAAGTGCAGGACCCAGATCCTACAGAAGTCTGTGGGCTACGAAGTAGGGATACATTTTTAAAATAAAAATGGAAAGCCAGTAAAGGATGGTGACAGCTTACATGTGCAACCAATGGGTAAACTTTTAGATAGGTTATTCTGGCTTCTAGGAAGGAGAGAGATTACAAGGACTCATGGGTGAGAGCTGAGGGAGCATGAGGGACAGTATGGCGCTCAGGAGGTGTAATGAGAGCTCCACTGTGGGAGGTACAGCAGTGCTGCAGGTCAGAAGGGACCCAGCTGGCCCTCCATCATGCTGTTCAGGACACACTGAACAGCACTGAAGGTAGCATGTTTTCCACAGAAATAACTGTGATATGCACACATATTTACCTATTTGTGTGCATCTGCATGAATGCATGTTCATTTGTGTGTAGAGAATAGAGTCGATGCTAGGCACATTCCCCAATACTTCTTTGCCTTAGTTTTTAGAGAGACAAACTCTCTCTGAACCTAGAATTCAAACTCACCAAGTAGGCTAAGCTGGCTGACGCTGAGCCTCAGGCGTCCTCCTGCCTCTACCTCCCCAGCACTGGGATTATACTGTGAGGCTGTGCTCGGCTTTTTATGTGGGTTCTGGGAGACTTAACTCACATCCTTATAATGGAGTATCAGTGGCTCTCCCTAGCCCCAGATCTATTCTTAAAGATAAAATAAAGGTTCTTTAGGGGAGTGCCAGCACGGCGGAAATTAATGAGAAGGGCACTGAAAAAAATGAACCTGTTCTGCTAAGTAGTGAGGAAAATACACTGTGTCCAGAGACAAGATTGAAGAGAAGACCCAAGGGCTACTCGTTAAAGGCCCTGGAAACTAGGTTAGGGAATCTACACAGCTTTAAAACAATTATAATACAGAGTTTAAAGAAGGAATATCAGACTTGTATTTTAGAAAACTAAATGCCAGAAGTGTAACTAACAGAACAAAGTCAAGCGAGATTAGAAATGGGAAATGAAGGAGTCAATTCTTGTCTAAGTACAAGACAAAGTCATAAGCAGAGATATTGTAGGCAGGTACTGAGTAAGAACACTAAGAACCCTATGATAGTCTATGTCAGTTTGTCTATCTATTTACCTACCTACCTACCATCTACCAACATATCATCTATCTGTCTGTTTATGAATATATCATATATCTAATCATCTATTCATAAATAAAACTCTGTCTATCATCTATTTATGAACATATCATCCATCATCTATTTATGAATATATCATCTGTCTGTCTACCTATCTATATCTATCAAGCCTATCTGGAGAACACTTAGATGGTGGTTGAGAGAGGGAGAGTTGTTCACCTTTGGGGATTTGGCCATTTGGTATGCTGCTCTTACCGCAGTGGATGGTCACTCACCCATGAGCATGAAGGCAAGCCAATCAATTAAAAGAGAGGATATGAAGTTGGAAGGGAGATGGGATAGAAAGTACTTGGGGAGTTCAAGGGAAGTAGTGGTGGATGGGTATTAACGATGCATATTATATAAATGTATGAGACCTTCAAAGGATAAAAATATTAAAATAGAATTGAGAAAGAACAGCTTTTCTACTTTTAGGAGCAGTGCTGCCAGATTTAGGAGATTCCTTGACCTTCAGAGCATCCCTAAGTTACCTAGAGCCATGGCACATCACAGAGGAGGGAGGATCTTGAGTTCTAGGCCAGCTTGGGCCACAAAGTGAGACTGTCTCATATACTTCTACATAAAAAGAAAAATGAAATTAAAGTTATACTTCTGTTTTGGAGATGTAACTACTATAATTAAAGTAAAATTTAAATAGGGCAAGTGGATGACTTTTAAACAAGCATGGTTTGATTGTGGTCTTAAACAATGATAGCTATGTATCACACTTAATATAACATATTAACCTGCACTATAAAAGAAGGAGAATGAAGAGGTGTGCTGTAACACACACACACACACACACACACACACACACACACACACACACACATGCACAAGTTCATACCTGAACTCAGGTTCCCAAAATTTAGTTATATTATCCAAGCAAGTGATTAGATCTAGAAAAAAAGTAAAAAAAAAAAAAAAAAAGCTATTCAATAAGACTTATTAATTGTACTAAAATACTATAAAATAATATAAAATTGTATTCATCTAAATTTCAAAATATTACTACCTATAATTTCATAAATTTTTGTTAAACAGTTTCTCTCATTTGATGTATCCATTTCTGGACCTGTTTTCCTTAATACTGTTTTTTACTATATCACTTCCTGAAGTCAGACATCTTATGTAGTACATAGAGAAGTAGAATTTATATATTCCTTAGTGGTTTCCATAAAATACAACCCTCAAAACACAAAGAAAAATATTTTTGGTTATTAGGACTTAAAATGATCTTACTTTGTTTATAAACAGAAAAAAGCCCAAACAAAACCAATGACAAAAAAGAGGTAAATTAATTCTAGAGTTCTAACTTTTAGTCAAAGTCTCATCTACTGCTTCATGATGGGACCAGCACTATCCACATCTTCTGGGGCCTCCACAGATAATGAGCCTTTTGTTGTAAATCACTAAGCACATTCAAGACCCAGCGCACTAAAGAAAACTTAAATTCAACAATTAATCAGACCAAAAGCTAACACATCTCTAATTAAAAACCCAGTCCTGGGTACATAAAAAGAAGCTTTTACTTAAAAGACACTGAGCATCTTCCCTTCCTTGTCTTAGAACAGAAAACAAAGCCTGGATTATAGCATGTCACAGGGCTGGCCTTGTTTCACTTTCAACCCTCCTTTTACACTAAGGTTTCTCACAACCCCGGCTGTCTTCTACATCCCTAGACACACACACTCCTGCATCCCTAGAACACACACTCCTGCATCCCTAGAACACACTCTCCTGCATCCCTGGACACACACACTCCTGCATCCCTAGACACACACTCTCCTGCATCCCTGGACACACACTCTCCTGCATCCCTGGACACACACACTCCTGCATCCCTGGACACACACTCTCCTGCATCCCTGGACACACACACTCCTGCATCCCTGGACACACACACTCCTGCATCCCTAGACACACACTCTCCTGCATCCCTAGACACACACTCTCCTGCATCCCTGGACACACACTCTCCTGCATCCCTGGACACACACACTCCTGCATCCCTAGACACACACACTCCTGCATCCCTAGACACACACACTCCTGCATCCCTGGACACACACTCTCCTGCATCCCTAGACACACACACTCCTGCATCCCTGGACACAGATTCTCCTGTATCCCTGGACACACACTCTCCTGCATCCCTGGACACACACACTCCTGCATCCCTGGACACACACACTCCTGCATCCCTGGACACACACTCTCCTGCATCCCTGGACACACACTCTCCTGCATCCCTGGACACACACTCATCTACATCCCTGGACACACACTCATCTATATCCCTGGACACAGATTCTCCTGTATCCCTGAACACATATTCATCTACCTCCCTGGAAACACACTCTCCTGTATCCTTGAACACATATTCATCTACCTCCCTGGACACACACTCTCCTGCATCCCTGGACACACACACTCCTGCATCCCTGGACACACACTCTCCTGCATCCCTGGACACACACTCTCCTGCATCCCTGGACACACACTCTCCTGCATCCCTGGACACACACACTCCTGCATCCCTGGACACACACACTCCTGCATCCCTGGACACACACTCTCTTGCATCCATGGGCAGACATTCTCCTGCATCTGTGGGCTCATACTCTTTTTAATCCCAGGGCATACACTATTCTCCAAAGCTTTTCTATTGCTCCCAAAGCCTAGTTGACTATTTGCTAACATCCCAACTTGACTGTCATTTCCTCAAAGGAGCTGCTTAGCCTTTCACATGTGGAATCCCTTTATCCACCCAAAGGACTTCTATTTTGCTTGTTTTAGTGAACACACAATTATACACGTTCCCAGCATAACTTGCATCATGAAAAAACTTGCTAATAGAATTATAAAGTTATAAGCAACATTATGCTCTAACATCTAGTCCTTGGACAAAGAATAGAGCTGTGTTTTTTCACTTTTCTGGAATTACATAAATCAGGATTACAGTGTGAGGTACACAGGAGACTTTGAATAAACATTTATCACTGAATCCCTGGAAGAACAAAAGTTTCTGTTTGTTAGCATGTTTAGCTACATCCAGTAACTTACCAGACCCCAGGGGGAAACCTGGAAGGAGACCAGAAGGGAATAACAGTATTATGAGCATTCTGTGTTGGTTGGTTTTCCCAACTTGAAACAAACCTGCTCATATCTGTAAAGAGGGATCTTAATTGAGAAAATGTCTCTATAGGGTTGGCATGGAGGCAAGTCTGTGGAGGTACTGTCTGGGTTAACCACTGGTAAGTGAGTTCCTGCCCACTATGAGGGACACTGTCCTGACGCAGGTAGTCCCTCTGTCTATAAATAAGACAAGCAAGCAATGATTAGCAAACGAGGAAACAGTTCCTCCATGGTCTCCTCTTCAGTTTCTGTCTTGAGTTCCTGCCCTGGCTTCCCTGGATGATAGACTACAAGCAATAAGATTAAATAAACCCTTTCCTCCCCAGGTTGATTTTGGTGATGGCATTTTATCACAACAGTAAAACCCTAACTGAGATGCCGTTTTAAAATTTATTTATTTTACATCCTTACTACAGTTTCCCCTCCCTCCTCTTCCACCCCCTACCACCCCTCTGCCCCACCCCCAATCCATTCCTCTGTTTCTGTTCAGAAAGGGCAGGCCCCCATGGGTATCCACAAAGTACAGCATATCAAGTTCCGGTAAAACTAAGCAGCACCTCTTGTATTAAGGCTGGGACAGGCAATCCAGTATAAGGAATAGGATCTCAAGAGACAGTCAAAACATTAGGGATGCCTTTCTACCATATTGTTATTGTATATATGCTACATTAATAGTCTCAGAAGCAATCCCAGAATAATCCATCATTTCATTTTACTACTCTAAAGATTTTTTTTAACTCCTCAATTGAAATAAGTCTTAAAATACCCTGAATGTAGTGTTCAACAAAAAGGGAAACAGTATTTTGAGAACAACTTGTAGAAATCAATATGTACGAATCACTGCAATTTCCATGACTTAATCTGCATTTTAGGAGTTATCCATGGGGGTTCACTTCTGCTTAGCTAATTCACTAGGAAGGGCAAGCCAATAGAAGGGTTTGTTTACAACCTTTGCACAGCATCAGTGAGAATCAATTTTCTGCTCTCTTGATCGAACAAAAGAAGGTCCAACCTCGATCAGAAAGTCAGCTTCTAAAATTAACAGCCCACCATGAACAGTACCTGTGTGTTCCAGTGTGGCATTCTAACCACAAGGTGACTGGCGACAGCCTCTATTACCTTCAGACCACACGGACAAAGGTGCTGGAGCAGAAAGTCCTTGTGGGGCTTAAGCTGCACACCAGGCCATGCTAATGTGCAAATAATTACCTGGATCTCAAATCCCACTGAGGCTCCAAAGAGAATAAGAACCCAAAGTAGACAACTCTGACAGCCAAGAAGACTGAAGGCAGGAAAGGAAAACCATCAGTACAAACCCTGACACTTACAACTCCATGAAGGCAAATAAAAACCACCAAATTCAGGATTTAAGAAGTTACATGCCTTCCCTAAAAGCTTTTCCTAAGGAAATTGCCTTCCAGAGAACTGTTATTATAAAGCTCTCAATGAAGAACAGCACATCCCGGGCAAGGTGGATGTAGTTAAAGAGAACCCATCTGCCCCAAAGGCTCTGACAAACAATGAATAGGAAGTTGTCGTGATGAATGGGGAAAAAATTAAACCCACAAGAGTCTAGAGTTAGACCTTCAAATTTACAGCCAAGTAAATTCCAACTGTGGTGTCTGGATTATACAATGGAGTAGTTCGCTTATGGAATAGTCTGTTTAGTAAAAATGTTGGGACAACATGACATCCATGTCCAATGACACAGCCATTCACAAAAGAACTAGCTACCTATATCACATACACAAATATTAACTCACAGTGGAAAAAATTTAGGCACTAATGCTGCAGACCTTTAAAAAATATAGGAATACTGACTTTGGATTAAGCACTGCTTTCTTAAATATGATGAAAAGCACAGAAATCAAACTCAGATAAACTGAAATGATAATTGAAATGTCCATGCCTCAAAGTAGAGTGTCAAGGAGAAAGATGGCTATGGGGGTTGAGTGAGAATGTCTCCCACATGTGAACACTTGGTCCCCAGGTGATGACAATGGGGAAGATTTCAGTGGTGCAGCTTCAGTGTGGAAGTATGTCACTATGGATGGATTTGAGATAAAAAAGCCTCACCTACTTCCAGTTTAATTTCTCTGCTTCATGCTTGAATTTTAAGATGTGAACTCAGCTTTCTGCTCCTGTCCCATCATTATGGACCCTAATGCTCTGGAACCATATGCTCAAATAAATTCCTTCTCTTTAAGTTGCATTTGTCATGGTGTTTTTCTTTTTAATTTCTTTTATCATAGTAGCATAAAGGTAATTAATACAGTGACACACAAAATTATTCTGACAAGTCATATGTCTCATGTATCTAGAATCAATATCAAAAAGTATTAAGATATAACATTAAAAAGGCAAATGTGTATCTAGCCAATAGAATATACTTTGGCTATAAAACCAAAGTAGTACTTGTTACAAAATGGACGAACCTGGCAAATATGTAGTTAAAGCCATCAGTCACAAACATCCCAAACTATGGCATCCTTAATGAAGTGTCTAGAATGAGAATACCTAGAGATAAGAAGTAGTGACGAAGAGTGAAAGGAGTTAAAACTGATAAGTGGAGACTGACTCAGAGTAATTGTGGGCTATGGTTTAGGGTGATGAAAATGTTCTCAAACCGTGGCGAGGAATACAGTATTCTGAAAAACTGAATTACCATACTGTATAGGAATTAAATCTTGATAAATTGGTTATAAAACTTAAAAATCATAAGAAACAACCATTGACTTGAAATTCATACCACATATGCATG